GAGTGGATCATAGCAGCAAGGTTCATTTTTAAGAAATAAGTCAGTGTAACTGTGAGTATGTCTGAATTTAGAGCGTGGGTTTGACAGCGTTCTTTGCGAGGAAATGAGCACAAGGACATCTTGATTTAAAAAAAGAAGGCAAAAGAAAGCAGACATCTGGAAATGGCACATGCAACAGAGTGCAAGGTTAATAATTTGATATCTAATTTCCAGAAAGAAGATGTGATAATAAGCAGCATTATAATAATTCTTATTTTTAAACCTTCTGAAAGAATTAACCTGCTCCATCCATCATTCTTTTGGCAGCTTACAAATATGTGACTTTTTGCATCTACGTACGGTAATCATATTCCCCTAATGTTGTTAGTGTGGGGAAGGCAAGCCGACAGAATGATGTCTCTGTGGCCCATGTGCTACTTATATTGCACCCCTGGGCTATTAAATAGATGCATAATAATTTCCTATACATTAGATGTAAATCAAATATGCCTCACACTGAAAGATGTATTTATGGTGGTTGATTAATGCCTACCTCTTGTGTACTGTGTACTGATAACCCAGCAATAAAATTAGAAACAGCTTTTACATCTGGTGGAAATAACACACCTGACCTTGACACATCCCTCCATTGTGGAGTTGAACAGAAATTTCTGGGTTTCTGGGTTGCAGGAATATTGGTTTTGAATACACAGATGATCAAAGCAACAACCCTGGTTTGGTGTTATGCGACCCACTATTGGATTGTCTGTGTTCCAGGAAAACGTAATGGTCTCCAGAGACATACTATGGCCCTGCAGGAAACTGACCTTGCTTTCGTTCAGACAGGGATAAAAGGCTGATGTTGTGCTCAGAGTGTCAGTGCAGGATGTAAAGAGGAGAGTGTGGTGTGCAGCAGTTTAGCCAATTAGCATTTTCTCAATGCACACATGCTTTAATCCTGCTGTTCTCAACAGTCCTTAGAACTGCTGAGGTCAGGATTACTTTCAGCCCTCCATTCAATGCCACTGACACTACATGCTTAAATTAAACAATAATAATAGTCCACCAGGCTGGAGATAATATGGTATAGTAGATGCCAATTCACTGCATTTGTGAGGTTAGTGAAGGCTGTAGCCACAGTGTTTTCCTGCTGCTTCACTGGCTATTTCATTTGAGCTTTGATGGTTATTTCCAATTGCATCACAGCTTGTTAGGTCTAATTGTCATCCTTTACAATGGCAGTGCTTGTTTTAGAATATACCTTTTATCCCAGAGTGGCCGTTTTTATAGTCACAATAATCGCTGCTGATCGTGTCAGTAAGGCGAGGGATCTTTGAATCTCTATTTCTGATTCCACTCACTAAAATATATAGTGAGTCTAAAATATCTTGTCTACCAGGGAATCATTACTGTTTGTCTTGTGATCACAGTTTAATGGGCTGACCTTGAAAATCCTGTAGCAATGTGTGGGGATGGTTTAGATTTTGTTTTTTAAAGGAATTATATACAATGTACATTTGTTGTTTTCCATTCTAATTTAACTGTTTTTCTTTTGTTATTTTTTCTCTCACAGTTTTTACAGGTCAGGAAGGTTCCTGCAGTAATTAATTTTTCTTGTCTTGTTTTATATGTAGATTTTGTTGTGTGTGGACCCCAGCAAGAGTTGCTGCTAATGGGGATCCAAATAAAGAATAATTGAATAAGTAATTACAATGCCAAGTCGTTGTCCTTTGTACTCATAGATCTTTAGCTTTTTTGTTTGTTTAGAGAACATATTTCGTAATTCACAAAATGCAATCCACAAATTAATTTAGTACACAACTGTACTCTGACATCTGGTGTAATTGTGGGGGACAATCCTGTGCAGCATGGGTGACACATACAGTACAGTAATTGCCATTTGATTTTTGCATTTAATACGTTCAAAGCAGCTGTAAAGCGCTTATATGCTCCTCACAGCTGGAAATAATGGTCGTGGTAGCCTAGACGTATCTCTTGTTATCTTTGTTCTACTCTGCATGTCCTACATCTTCATTTCTACTCTGCACAAGAAACATGCAGGCATTCACTCTGGTATTGATCAAATAAAAAGAAAAAATTGAAGCACCCCCTGCACAGCCTTGTTGCATGGTGCCCTTGAAGGAATGTCGTTCTCATCCACACCCTGTTATGCTCTCAGAGGTCATTCTGCTTCAGATTTGTTGTTCTATCAGATGCATTTTGGAACACTGGTCCAAACAAACTGCTCAGGCCTGGACCAGCAGTGTTTCCTGTCGAGCCACCTCCTTGGTTGCTGTGTGACAGACTGGTGCAGTAATCGCAGCAGTTGTTGCTCTCAGGCTGTGCACTGCTGCTGGTATTACAGTCAATCATTAGAGCTGTATCCTCTCCAGATGGCTCCTGCCTTCCCTGGTCTCTATTGAATTGTCCATGTTTAGACTCCCCAGCAAGCTGCTCTTTGGCCATTTTCATGTCTTAATATTTAGAGTAGTGAACAAATCTAATTCAAAGCAGGACTCTTTCTGATGGACTAGCGATTGTCATGGGAGATAGTGTGTTGAAATTACATTTTTAGGTCTACCTAGTGGTCTAGAAAGGGTAATAAAATAAATAAGATTCAACAGAGTCACATAAGTGCATAGCTTCTCAGTGCTCCTCTCTCAGAGGTAGAGCAGAGTTAATGAGGAGCTGGCTGTATTTGAGTGTTTGCACGAGGATCCTAGTGAAAAATGTGCTCTCACACTACTGTAAGCTCAGGGATTATCATTATCCTCCTGGGTTTCATCATGTGGTTTCCTCAGTACTTACTCTCTGAAGTGATGTTACTGTGATGCTACTCACAATCAGTCCTCTACTTGTCGTAAGAGGTAGCTTTGGCTTTTTTGGCAGAGGTGGACCTTTGCGAAGCTTCCACAAAAATACAGAAATCTTATGCACACAACCTATATATTAGATGTGTGGATGGGTGTTGTTACCTGTGAGTCTCCATTGTGAACCCACAGTGTTGTCAGTCTGGGATCTCAAGCTGCTTGTCTGGAAGAGAGTATCTGTGAAAGAGCTGGATGACAAAAACTTGGTGGGGATTCTCTGCCAGCCTGTATAGAGAAGAGCTCATGCAGCGCCATTACCCCTTCCTCTTTGTGCTTGTATTTCTCATTTTGTACGAGGAAAAAACTGAGGGAAGGAAAGGGGCTATGGGAGAAGAACCCATGGCCATGACAGAGCCACAGTCACAGGCGGGCTCATTCACAACTCCATCATTACAGAAAATTTACTTCTCAGACATTCTCTGCTCCAGTTCAGGAAGGGGCCTGTGGATGAGCTGTGAATCTTGAACACAAAAAAATCTCTTGTTTCCAAGTGTGGCTGAGATTTGAATCGTGTCAGTGTGACGGTTTGAACTTTTGCCTTCATATCCAGCTGTCAAAAGAAATAGTAAAATTCTTTTCGTTTTGAAGTAGGATTCGAAATGTAGTGGAGTGGAAACAATAAGTTGTAAGGCCGGGTGAAAATAGCTGCAAATATAATAAAGAATCATAATAAAGTGTTTAATTTAGTTGATAGTTAATCATTATAGATCATTTTTAATGACTTATTTTTAATAAAGACCAGCTGAAAAAAGCTACCATTTTAATGTTAATGTTCTATCATATGTTCTTGCTGAGTACCTCTCCATCGTGGAATGCCTGTGGATTGTTTCTTGAGATGTAGGTCGTAACTCCATTATCAAGGAATATGTGATGTTTATGAGCCAGGGCGTGTGCGCTTTGTGCTTTCGTGGCAGTTTTCATTTATTGCATTTTCACATCGATATTCTATTGAATAATTATCTTATTGCTATTGATGAAGTGTCTAGTGCCGATACATGCTATTGTTTTTTTGCCCAGGCCTAATTAATCATTTAGTTGACCACCGTACAATTTATCTGCCATTGCTTTGGTAATCAATTAATTGTTTCAATCCATTTTTAAGTAAAAATACCAAAGAGTCCACTTGCAGTTTCTCAAACATGAATATTTGGTGATTATTGTAGTCCTCTATGATATTGATCATAATAACTAATAAGCAATTTGAATATACCAACTTGGGTGTTTAATTTTCAATTAAAGGACAAAAGTATTCAACAGATTGAATTAATTGATACTGAAAATAGTTAGTCGTGGCCCTAGAATATACTAACATCAGTACTTGGGAACTTGAATCTATGCTTAAATCTAGATATCTAAATCTTGACTTGTTAAAAAATAAATAATAATAATAATAACAACTAGAGTTTTTGGTCTATAATGTGATTAAGTATGAGGCAGAGAGCCTCCTGGGTAAAGATGGCCTTATTTATCATGTTCATCCCTCTCCCTGTTGAAGCCAAGGTCAAGGAAGAGGAGAAACACTCTGCAGTATCAGTCTCTTTCCTCTTTTGCACATATGAGTCTCAGAATACCTGAATTGATTCACCCTAATTGCAGTATGTGACAAAACACCCACTGATTTGTCTCACAGTGAAGTCTGCTGCTTCTGGGGGAGAGTGCAAGCCAGGAGAAGAGCGAATAATGATGCTGCAGTGGAATGTCATTTTCTGTGTTTTGGCTCGGCTCCTGTTATTCCTGACGATTAGAAAGATTTGCACTTATTTTTGTTTTTTTTCCGGCTGGAAGGTTATGTCGCTTGTCTTCGTCGTTCAGCTAATTCTACACACACTGCAATCAGGCAGAACCTTTCATATGCTTAACCCTTCAATATCAGAACAGCAAGGAAGAAGAATGAGGAGCTACTGAGGCAGCATAACAGTATAACACGCATTCAATTTCACAAGTAAAAATGTACCCCAGGAGATAATTGTGAGGGTTTGTTCTGTACCTTGTTTTCATGTATTCAAGGATGACTGTTTTATGAGAGTACGTTTTAATAACCTTCTGTTGACACGGTATATAACACAGGCCATCTATTTAGGATATTTAGCCTGCGGTATGACTTTACACACTCTGACCCTCACATAATGTTTCTACTTCTGTATTTTCCAGGTGTATAGGTCGGCGAGACCGTTATACTACCCAGCAAGATGGTGGCTTTGTCGCTGAAGATCTGTGTCCGCCAGTGCAATGTGGTGAAAACGATGCAGTTTGAACCATCCACGCCTGTGTACGATGCCTGCAGGATCATCAGAGAGAGAGTACCAGAAGCTCAGACAGGACAAGGTTGGTGGATGACTCAGAGAATGTAATTTACATAATGGAAATCTGTAAGCATCAACATTTGCATGCCGTGTTTCACTTTGTGTTTCAGCTTCAGATTATGGCCTCTTCCTGTCTGACGATGATCCCAGGAAAGGAATCTGGCTCGAATCTGGAAGAACCCTGGATTACTACATGCTGCGAAATGGAGTAAGATTAAGTCATGTAGTTTGGGGTTGAGAACTGTCAGAGTCACTCATTTCTTAAAGTGATTTACATTTTCTAGTGCGACCTGAGATGTTTGCTTCCATGGTGGGAGCGATTGCTAGTTTACTGTCCAGCGGGGGTTGTGGATGTCATTGTGCTTCCTCTCCTATTTTCTCAGGATGTCTTGGAGTATAAGAAGAAACAAAGGCCCCAAAAGATCAAGATGCTGGACGGTGCAGTTAAAACCATCATGGTGGATGACTCAAAAACAGTTGGGGAGCTGCTTGTCACCATATGCAGCAGAATAGGTAAGTGATACTCTGCAAGTACTGCTAATATGAATCTTTTCAAGCCATTGTAAAAAACTTGAATTATTTATCCTCTATTTTATTTTTAGTCCATGGCATACCACTTGACTTCATACTGAGTTACATTATGTTACAGTGTTATTATGTGCAATGAAATTCATATTTAAACCGCCACATTTGTTAAGCACTTTGGAGTATTCATGTACGCTTGATAAAGTCCTAATCACTTTTTGTTTAGAGCGCAGTGGGCATGATTTATCAAGCACAAACAAGCTTGTTTCTAATAAATGCTGAAGTGTTCTTCCTAAGGGCAAGACCTTGCCATCCTTGCCTGTCACAGAGGTGTTCCCTAAGCAGTATATTTCAATTATAATGGGCTGCTATCAAGCTCAATTGGGTGAGGAGGAGAGGGATGTGTGTCTGGCAGATAGCTTTATTGGAAAATGTTTGTTTAGAGTCGGTCTTTCTGCTTGGCTTCCTCTCCTCCTCGTCTCCCATTTTAGTTTTCTGGCTCTGTACCAGCTTTCCTTCACTTCTGTTTCAAAGCAGAGAGAAAGAGATAAAAAGAGAGTACCAAAGAATTGCAGAAACACTTTCTTTATCATGGCATTAGTTGTTGTGCCGGTTTAAGGTGTCTCCTCCTCTGAGAATTCCCTGGCTTATTTGCCCCCCTTGCAGGAATCACCAACTATGAGGAGTACTCCCTGATTCAAGAGGTGACAGAGGAAAAGAAGGAAGATGGAATGGGGACACTGAAGAAAGACCGAACGCTGCTGCTACGAGATGAGCGGAAGATGGAAAAGCTTAAAGCCAAACTCCACACGGATGATGACTGTGAGTGTGAGCTTTCAAAAGCCTCCAGAGGTGTTCCTGATATCTTGATGGCTTTAAGCCCTTTTCTTATTTTCACATATTTTATTGCCGGACTCCACGGCATCATTTGGACGTGTGCTTTATCACCGAAGTATAATTTATTGCATGAACATATCAAAGTTTAATGAAATTACCAGTGTTATCTTTTCCCCAGAGGACACCAATTAAATGTTCAAACATGTGAATGTATAAATCACCCTCCAACTTTGGCTGAAAACTAGCTAAGTCTCAGCAGAAAATAATGCAAATGACGCTGTTTATGTCCCGTCAAGATTTTCCCTTCCCCCGTGATTAATTTGGTAGATTGTCTGTCTAAGCTGATTTGTCTGTCCGTCTGAGGTTTTTGAACTGCCTGGTTAATTTCACCATCAGTATCCTCCTCTAGTAACATCTTTGTAAAGTGAGTGTCTATTCATTTCAGTGCATGTGATAACAGAGTGTGTGTATTGATTGGCAGTGAACTGGCTGGACCACAGCAGGACATTCAGAGAGCAGGGAGTGGAAGAAAGCGAGACTCTGCTGCTCAGGCGCAAGTTCTTCTATTCGGACCAGAACGTGGACTCAAGGGACCCTGTCCAGCTAAACCTGCTCTATGTTCAGGTAAACTAGTTACACACACCTTTTATGCTGGTGTAGCAAAAAATAGAGGAGAAAGAGGATGACCTACTGTACTCACACATTTCTTGCTGTTACAGCGCAACCTGCAAAATGAGGCCCAGCATGTGAATTACACTGCAAATTTTTGGGGTGTTGTTTTAAAAAATAAATGTGTTTTAAAGAAGTGCTCCACCCTAAAACATGTTCTTGAGCTCCGACTGAATTATATGACTGTACTATGATGTGCTATGGTTTTAAAATTGACATTATTACCAAATGTATGAAAATCTGCTTGTTGTGGGTTGAAAATGGCTCAACATGCCCTCTACTGTTCTAAATCATGCTGAACTTGGCAAGGCCAATGCTGAGATAGAGTAATTTTGGACTACTTTACATCATGACATTTATTTTTTTTAAGTGTTAACACCCTCTAATCAGAGTAGGGCAGCCCACCTCCCCCAGCCTATGCTTTGAGTGGAAGTGTGTAAAAGGTAAATGGACCTTGGTTGTACTTGTATACCTTTTGACCACTCAAAGCGGTCTTACACTACATGCCACATTCGCCCTCTTACACACATTCACACACCGATGACGCAGGATCGGAGCAATTTAGGGTTCAGTGTCTCGCTCAAGGATACTTTAGCCAGAGGAGCCAGGGATCGAACAACCTTCCGATTAGTGGACGACCCGCTCTACCTCTGAGCCACAGCTGCCCGAAACCACTGCACTCATTTTCAGATGTGTACTGATCGAGACACATCATTCACATTTACTTACTATTTTTCTAATCTGGCGCAGTGGTTCAGATTGTAGAAACAATAGTAACAGCGGACTTTCTTGTGTTTTCAGCGCAGACACAGCGAGTGTGACAGCATCTGCTCTGGTTAGCTCTGATTACCAGCTTACTGTTCCTGTTACACTGCTGTGGCCAATCTGTCAATCACTGCGGTCGGTGTCAAGGTCATGTCCTTTGCAGGTCTCTGATGCATTTTTTTAATTTGCTGAGAGGAAGGGAGCTAGCAGAATTGAAGGGTGTAGTTAAATTTGAAAAAGAGTGTAATTAGGCTCAATAGCTATGTTGTTGTCTGCATCTAAGTTTTGGCCCGGTCTGGACTGACTGAAATGTGGGTAGCTCAGATGTGGTCCAGACAGGTTTGACTTGGTTTATACTGCACACTGGCACAACATTATAAGTCCTTGCACTTGAAGGCAAAGTTTTAATTGCAGATTGAAAAATTGTATTTTGTCTGGCACTGACATATGATCATCTTATAAAGCTGTTAAACATTCAGCAGACGTAGCATTAGCATACATTTCGCCACCTGACATACTGTCCAATATTCACTCTCCTTTAAGATGCTTTCTTGTCTTCAATAACTCCTCAGAAATGTGTCCAGCTCTTAAACTGCTAATCTATAGAATCTATCTATTATAGATAATTTCAGATTTTCAGCCTGACATATATGGTGTCCTTGAAAACTTTAGGATCCCCGATGCAATTTCAAATGTGGTTCTGTGGGTTTGAACAATGACTGATGATTATAGTTCATGACTGTTGTTTATGAGGATTAGGAATTTTCATAGGCAGCGAAAACACTTGCTGTTTCTTTACAGATTTGTCCAACATTCAGCGTATGTCTAGTTGGAGAGATATATTGTTAGGCTTTCTGGGTTTATGTCTGGATGAGGCATTGCCTATTTTATTAGTTAGTTTCTCTCTCTCTCTATGTCTGTGTGTGTGTGTGTGTGTGTGTGTGTGTGTGTGTGTGTGTGTGTGTGTGTGTGTGTGTCTGTGTGTCTGTGTGTCTGTGTTTGTGTGTACTCAGCAGTGCTAGTTCTACCAGTTTTGTAAACCGAGGGAGCCCTGCTGGCACCGGGGGGGTTCCCTGAGGGGGGTCAGCTGAGTCCGGTACAGCACAAGTCACAGTTGAAGGCAGTTATGCACACATAACTGCCTTCACATTAGCCCCTTCAGCCGGGGTAGGAGGGCTCCCCACTGACACCTGGACTCAAGCGCACACAGAAACACGCATACAGATGTATCTTACACTGGCGAGATAGAGGAAGAGCATGAGATTTAGGAAAGCGTACTTATAGAAACGGATGCAACATACTATTTAAAAGAAATACATTAACAATACGATTGTTACATGCTCTCCCACATAAAGTCTCAGCAAAAACAGCACTCACTTAGAGATACCACGTCTGAAATATCTATAGTTATTCATATTTGACTCATCTTTTCAGTCCCTGCTACGTTGGGAGTTTCTGAATATGTTCATAAAAGACACCCAGCCACCCACCTCCCTGTCTGCTCCCGCTGCTCTCCTCCTTTCTATCTGACTGTTCCTGTTTAAGCCTCTATTTTTCTTACCCTGCGTTTCCTTCCCTTACAGTTTGCCTGTCTCCACTCCCTCTCCATCTCCTACACATTCTGACATAATCGTGCACATCCCCACCCTGTTACCCTGGCACACATTACAGCACAGTGCATATCATGCTCTCCTCTCAACACAGACTCATATTTCCTTTCACAATAACAACCCCGCCCCCTACCCCCGCCTCCCTTTGCCTCTTTGTTGCCCTTCCTCATCTATCTTTCCCCTCGTTCTCTGCCTGACACACACTTGGATTGTTACACAGGCAGATCACAGAGACTCTTCACATGGCAGTGGCTCTAATTTGTCACTGTGTTAAAAAGGCCAAACAGAGCCAGAAGAGAGATCTTTAGCTGAGTGGAACACACCCCAGGCTTCTCTTTGACTTTTTATTCTTTCCTTTTTTTATAAATCTTTTTACTCCCTCCATTTCCCTCTTTAACATCCTTCATCATTCACAATTCTTGTAATTCTCTGAAACTCAGCAGGGTTGAGTAATTGAATTCAGATGGTGAAGATGATGACATTATTGCTGGCATTTCTTTGACAGAGGATCCCTGCGAATCAGCGATGATCTCAAATGTTTATTAATGATTTGAAGCTTCCATGGTTTTAAACCCACCCCACACACACACATACACACACACATAATGTAATGAAGCTCTGCCAGTAACAGACTAATCTCCTTTACTGCTCTGCCACTCCCTCTCTGTCATGTATTTGTGCTAAGGCCAGGATAAACCTCCGTAGCAATAGCAGTCACCCTGTGGGTCCTGCTCTTTTGCTTTTACTTTTACTCACTTTAGTTGATTCTGTAAATATACTAATTGTACCAGGAGAGAGCATAGTCCAAAGGACAGATGAAGACTTAAAAATAATATTCTGTTGTATATAAGGACTTGCTATCCTTTCAGAATGTAGCATTATTTCATCATGTTTTTTTTTCCATCAGTAGTTCTGTAAGAGCTTGGGGTAGCATTTTAAGAGCTTATGAAGCATTTTTGCTTTATTGGAAAAATGAACAATACAATAGGATTTGTCTTAATAAAACTGTGTTGTCTAGCTCATGAAGCTGTTGAATATTCCTTTACTCGCTAATTTATTAGCAACCATCCTGATCAAACACTGTGTGCATTTAGTCGCTGTAGAGTATCCCTATGTCAGCATTTATTTTTAAGGCTGTATTATACGCTGTGTGCTCTGCTGGGCCGTGGTGGACTGGTTGACCTCTGTGTTTTAGCCTCAGGCTGTATGTGTCACAGCTTCGGATGTCTTGTGCTTCGCTTCCACTCATGCATCTCTACTAGAATGTCCTAGAACCAGCGCCTGTATCACTTGCCATATCCGCTATGAGAAAATCAGGGTCTACCCTCACGGTCTTGTCTGTCAACAGTCATGGCTAGTTATTGATTTTCTGGCCAGTTGTTTGACCAAATAGAGACACGTAAATTGGCTGCTTAATCTGAGGTTTGCCAATGATGAATTCAATATCTGGTTATCGCTGTATGAAACAATAGCAATGCCAAACTGAATGATATAATGTATATTGCTAGCAAAGCAATGAACGTTTGATGTGGCCATTATTTAATCTAACTGTGTTTTGATCATATGGATCATATAAGTCCTGCTTGCTTTATCTGATTGGCATCAGCTGTTTCACAATCACTGGCTTATTCATAGCTGTGTGGCTGTCAGCTGACTAGTAACTTACAGTTGTCTTTGTGCGGGTGTACAGCACTTTAGCCTGCTGACAAAGTCTGCGGCTCATCTACCCTCACCACAGACCATTTGCTTAAAATTGTCAATTCCCTGATGTAAATAAGATATGATATTTACATGGAACATAGAGAAACTGGTTATTTACCTTACTGTATACATGATTCTCAAACTGTCATTTCCAGAACGACTTGAGTTCACTCAGCAGTTGAGAATGGACCCCCCCCTTAGTTTCTGCCTGGCCACTGTTGCATTTACCACTCTGCTGGATATAGGCTGCCTCACCTTATTACCAGTAATGGAAAATAAAAGCAACAACCGATAAAACATATTCTATTGCATTACCAGTGTTAAACCTTCACTTTAATTTTCGACGCATCTGCAAAATCTGGATACGGTGTTTGTCCAGGTTTCTGAAACTAAATTTACATACGCAAACAGATAACCAGGATACACCAAAAACATGATAATAACATACTAGTGTGAATAACACACATGTTTCAGATGTTAAAGCATTGGTATCTACCGTAGCTGTGCTATACTCTACATTTCTGTGTATCTATGGGGCTTATAAACTCCAAACTCTCTTGTAGCCTAAATTAGTTTTCTAAATAACTGGGGCACTTGGGTAAATTCATTATACTCTATAACCAATCTGTGTCCACCAAGCAATACTTACTTTAAAAATATAACCCTTAAATCTTATTCTTCCATTACTCCTTGCATCTTACTCACACAATAATACCATCTTGTGAATAGTGTGTACCAGAGTGAATGGCATGTGTGAGGGCTAATTTTAGAGTGTCTTCTTGTATTAAGTAAGAGCTTATGTACTCCACTGTGAATTGCACTGGGGAAGGGACTTGATTGTGAGTGGAGGAGATTGTTGTCCTCATTACAGCCGTAAGCTGCTGCTTAGTTTTTCATTGATGTAATGGGACGTAAGAAGGAATCCACACGGTGCACCGATATGCTAATGCTAAAAGCACTGATGGAGCCTTTCTCACTGTCAGCAAGGCCTCTCAGCTTTTGGAGCCATTAATTTTGCAGCAGTGAGCTAGAAAGAGGTAGTGAGAGAAGACAGAAAGAGAGAGAGGCAGAGCTGACTACCCCCTGGAGAAAACAGCACACATTGACAACCATTTGAAAGATGTCAACAAAGGCTTCTCCCTTTCCATCTACCTAAATGGTGAAGATAATGTAGACAGCCTGGCTGAAAATGCATTGAAACATAAGTGATGTCTCAGCAGCTCCAAAGGGGCATAGGCCTTTTTTTCCCTTTTTTTTCTCACTGAAAAAAAACAAAACCCATTTGATTTCTTAACAACATATTGAGGGCCATTCTGTAATGCAGATGGAATATTATGAAAGACTGATGCATTTCTGTAATGTGTTTCCCTTTTTAATAACACGTAATGGGCTGTGATGACAAATTGTTGGAGCTGCTACATTTGAAGCCAGCAGAATGCAGTTTATTGTCACAAACAAATCTTATTTGGCTCCCCTGCGTGGATGAGTCTCAGTTATGATGTCCCTGCTCTAGAAATACACTTAGTCATTCACCTGGAACACATCCTCTCTGAAGCCACACTGCATTCAAAGCGCACAATGAAGTGCTCATTATGGAGCTCTGTTGGGGGTTAGGTGAATTTTGTGTAATTCTCATGCCTTTGTAGTTCTATCCTTTTTGCTGGATGTGTGTTTCTGCCTCTCACTTACACCTCCCCCCTCTGATCATGTCTCCTCTAGGCAAGGGATGATATATTGAATGGATCCCACCCTGTCTCCTTTGATAAAGCCTGTGAGTTTGCAGGGATCCAGGCTCAGATCCAGTTCGGACCCCACGCGGAGCACAAACACAAGCCCGGATTCCTGGAGTAAGTTTTTCCTATCCAAGAGATGCATTAACACCAACATTACTCTATACAACATGTTGTGTTTTCATATGTTCAGATCACAGCTGTGCATATACAGTGGTTATCTCCTGCTTCAGCACAGGCTGTTGCTTCAGGGATTTCCTCCAGTGGAAAGCTCAGGGGTGATGTCAGCTGTTACAACTGTTTTCTGATATGTAGGCAGTAGGGCAAGAATGACCTCATATGTAGAGGTATGTTAATAGAAAAGGAAATGCCTGTAGCTCAAAAGGGTAACCATGTAAAAATGTCATTTATCTCCGTAGCCTGAAGGAGTTCCTACCAAAAGAGTACATCAAGCAGAGAGGGTCCGAGAAGAAAATATTCCAAGTATGTACATTACATTGCTGGAATGTTGCATTTAAAGAAAATAATGTGTTTGAAAGTGGGGGTGGCCCATGGGAATTATAGTAATTTGTTCTCTGTTGAGGCATAAATTGACAAAATATGAAACATGTAGATCACCTAAGGTAATGTAACATAACATATGTAATATTAAAGGAGGTGAACTGCTGTTTTTGATCAGGACCATAAAAACTGTGGAGAGATGACGGAGATTGAGGCAAAAGTGAAGTATGTGAAGCTCGCCAGGTCCCTGCAGACATATGGAGTGTCCTTCTTCCTGGTGAAGGTAAGAGCTGCTAAATGACATGTATTGCAGGTATTGGATTTATAAGCACAGCAAACAATATGCTCACATTCCCATAAAAACATTTCCACCATTAAAGGGATAATTATTTTCATAATTTCTATTGTAGTCAACAAGTTTATTTCATGAGATCTTGAAATGCAGCTAAACCTCACTAAAAATCAGTCAGAGGAGACACAAGCAGTCAGATGATTGTACAGATTGTAAATTAACCCCAAGTTAAGCCAAACCAAACCAAACAAAGGCAAATGGTAAAACCAAACCTTTGTAAAAGACTTCCTGTTTCAACTTTGACCTACAATGCTTGCATTAATTGAGTGTAAAGAAGGATTGTTGCATTGCATGCATTCCCATTGGCACTCACTTTTTGTTTTAAGCTCCAGACAAAGTGGTTGATAATCTTTTTTACAACTGTGATCGTCTGATCGCTCATGTTCCTTGCCCACGTTTAACTTTGCTGTAGTAATGTTGCCACATTTGCAGGACTTAGCAGTTAACTTACAGTACATACAGTACAATGTTACCATAACTGACAAATAAGGCAAATATGAAAATAAAATCTGAATCTTCCTACACTAATCCTGGAGCAATCTCAATTTAATGATACATCTGGTTTTTGAAAACACGCACGTAATGCTTCTGTACTAATGAGTGGCAGCTGTGATTAGAAAGCTGTTCGGATATGCTCTGTACTGTCAAACAGGTATGAAAGCTTGTTGAAAACACCAAAAACCCCATTATCACAACAAATCTGAAGCTTCAGAGTGGAAGCTTGTGCATTTGCAGTTCAGCAGCCTACTCTGAAATACTTGTGACAATAGCAATTCTGTTCTGTTCTGGTTTGGCGAACACAAAAGTGGAATGGAAGTGCGGCATGTGAATGGGATGAAGTCGCACCAGCAGGTATTATAAAAGCTCTCTGACAGCAGCCCATTTGGTTACAAACTTGCAGGAAAGAGGGGAGAAAGAGGAAGAGTGCAGTTGTCTGCTGGAGTCTTAATGGATGATAAATGGAATGTTTGGCCCCGTAGTTAAAGCAGACTGCAGGGTTCAGATTATCTTTGTGTGCGTGTGTGTGTGTGTGTGTGTGTGTGTGTGTGTGTGTGTGTGTGTGTGTGTGTGTGTGTGTGTGTGTGTGTGTGTGTGTTTATGGCAGACTGCGTGTGCATCTACACATATGAGCCCTGTCAGTGTTCGATGAGGAGATGTAGTGATGGAGATTTCTTCAAGACTCTGTTAAATAATTCACTCCAGCTGCACTCTGCTCTTGATGCTAGCAGAGGCAAAAGCACAGACCTGGCTTTGTTGAGGCACATCTGAGAGTTTATTGTAACCTCCCATTTCTCATCTGTCAGTCTTTAATCACTGCAGGTTCTATTGCTGTAAACTTTACAGATATGGAAATACCGTACATGGAAAGTAAATAAGCCTGTATGTATATATGTGTGTTTGCTGCAGCCATGCATGCAGGTGTGTACAATAGAACCCCCCCCACACACACACACTCCTATTGTGATCTTTTGCAGAAGCAGATTTACACAAACAACAATCAAGGTTAAACAGTTTGAAATAATATAATACCTCAGCTGCCCACTTCAGATTAGAAAATCAGACTTCCTGCCTGAATACAGCCTTGATAATTATGACATTCAAGTAATGTAACCTAAAACAATGGAAGTTTTTAATAAACCTTGATACAAATATATCATGAACACTGGAATAATGTTATCTGCCCTTGTGCTTAAGAGCCCTAAACCTGGAAGCTGTTTTACTTATTGGCCTTTTGTGTGATTCTCAGAGCTCTGCATTTTGACCCAGTGATAAAAAAAAACAAAACAATAGCCCACAGGGACATAAAATGTACGTATTCCGAACTCCCCTTCTCTACAAACCGCTAATTTTTGTGTCGTCCTCTGCGCCCCTGGAGGGGAGCCAAGTGTAGGCTCAGTCTCTGAAGTGAGCTGTAATAGATTTTCAGTGGGCAGAGAGTGGAGGGCACTGGAGCTGGTCAGGCAGAGAGCTGGTGGAAGCACCATGCTGGTGTGCTGACAGTGACTAAAGCCTGTGGAGACCCTGTTCAATAAAGCAGCAGTTAAACAAGCCTGAACTCTGCTGGGTCAGTTCACAGCTGCCCCTTCTCCTCTTCCATTTGGAGCTTTAAGCCATAGACACAGCATTTGTATTATGACAGCACCAGCAGAATGGCATAACGATTTTGCGTTTGCCCCTTTGAATGAATCATCTGTGTAGGTGTTTAGCACCGACATAACTGTTGTCTGATGTTTCTCTATCTGACAGGAAAAGATGAAGGGTAAAAATAAACTGGTCCCGCGGCTGCTGGGGATAACCAAGGAGTCAGTGATGCGAGTGGAAGAGAAGACGAAGGATGTGGTGCAGGAGTGGCCTCTGACAACTGTCAAGAGATGGGCTGCCTCCCCCAAAAGCTTCACCCTGGTACTGTGTGACTCTCTGCATCAAGTCCTCAGCATTACTTGGAAGAATCAGATGTTATACGCTCCTAATGCTGTACACATATTCAGTTATTATGTGCATAGTGTGCTTTACACAGTTCTTCATCACATATTCAATCTCTTTCCCCTAGTTTCATTTTCAACTCAAACAGCACTCGAAAAATTATTTAGACCTCAGACTCCAATATTGAATGTGTTCAGCACGCTAGCCGGCTATTTCATCTGAGTTAACAATAGATGCCCTGTGCAGTATTTGGATGTATTATTTATCTGAAAGCTTTTTCAATTTTCTTTATCAGCTTTTGGCAACAGTACTGTCTGTTTTCCTCCCATATTGGAAAGGAGCACTGCATTTAAAGATGAAAGATAGATTATGCAAATTTTAAAAATACTCTAAGGTATATTTGCCAACATTGATTTAACCCAAAAATATTCACCCTTGCATTTCTGTAGATTGCTTTGAAGTGAGTTTTGAGATTCACTACATCTAATATTTAATCAGCTCTTTGGAGGAATAGGATGCAGCATAGAAGCCAGTCAATTTTTCTTTTCATTAAGGGTAGAAATAATGAAGGTGTTGCCAAGTGTATTCAGGGTGTGAGGCTCTTATTAGGTGCGGTATAGAATGTTTTAGCAATGCTAGATAGATGTCAAAATAGTTTGCCCTGAATCTCTGCTGTCTGCATCACAAAGGATTTCGGAGAGTACCAGGAGAGTTACTACTCTGTCCAGACTACAGAGGGAGAGCAGATATCCCAACTTATTGCTGGATACATTGATATCATTCTTAAGAAGGCAAGTAATTCAAAACTGAATGTAAAAATGAATTAATACAGCATACTTATAATTCTCCATACATTTATCCTATATTGTTCACTGTGATATCTGTTTCTACAGAAGCAGAGTAAGGATCGTTTTGGCCTTGAGGGAGACGAGGAATCCACCATGCTGGAGGAATCAGTGTCCCCTAAGAAGTGAGTAATACACATGTGTTATGTACTCTATTGTATGCTGACAATTCTGATTCTGCGAACACAGTCTAGGTATCCTTTATAAATTTTTTACCTCTTTAGCCTGCCTAGTATAGTATGTCCAAAAGAGGTAATGTTAGAATCAAACACAAATAAAGCAACAACATAACACTAACACCATTCTCAGTATTAAAGAATATAATTTGTTAAATTTGCTTCCTTGTACAATTTTTGTTTTTACAAACCTAAACACACCACCTGCCTCAGGGTAAAGCCACTAAATTATCATCTTATTTCCCAAAAGAAAGCTGCATCATTTAGAAGTTAAGATATCACGCAGGTTAAGATATCATCTGGTTCGAAGCTTGTTAATTCAGTAATTCTTATCTCTCAGTTGGTTGCCGTTCCTCCTGATTTTCCCAATCTAGCTTAGTAACTGATGGAAATGAAGTAATGCTGATGGACCAGGGCTCTATCACACAGAGCATGGAAATTTGTTGTCGCTGAAAATCAACATGGCTCTTAGTGATCCCCTCTCTGGCAGAATGGGGCATCATATTCCTGCTGCTTATGGGCCAATTGACTCATGTTGTGGTTCTCAGCACAAAAACATAATTGCTGCTTCTCAAAACAAGCCATAATTAACCAATGGAGTCAGGAGCATCTGTTGAGCTGGGCAGGAAAACAGACATTTTTGCGTACAATATTTTTTCTGACAATGCCTAATCACTGTGGGAACAGTTGTTAGCATGATAATTATTTTATTTATTATTTTGTAACAGTTCAATCATCTGGAACAATTATCAGAATTTAGAGCTCCACTCACAAGTAACACAGAGGAAAATAGTCACTACCAGAACACCTCCAAATTAGAGTTAGTCTTTAGTTTTCCACATAACCAAAAGGTTTGAATGCATCTGCGTGCATCCTGTGCACGTATGCTAAATAAACATACACAATGAACAAACACAATGAAACAACTTCCTGATTAAGGTGTGTTTATGAAATTCAACTTGCACTTCCTTTCTCATTTTCTCCTGTATAAGGTCCACAATTTTGCAGCAGCAGTTTAATCGGGTCGGTCGCGTGGAGCATGGCTCAGTAGCACTTCCGGGCATAATTCGGTCTGGGTCTATTGGTGGCCCTGACACCTTCAATGTGGGCACTATGCCCTCTGCTCAGCAGCAAATCACCACAGGGCAGATGCACAGAGGACACATGCCTCCACTGGTGAGTATAGCAATTTCACTCGCAAGCAAACCTGCTGTCCTGGACAAATGTCGTATTCCCCCTGTGTCACCATATTTTGACATGAAATAGCAGTAGCATCCAACCTTGGGCCAATCTGTGCAATTAGAAAACTGAACTAAAGGAATGAGGAAATGTGTTTTGCTCAATTGTCTATTTTTTAAATATCCAAACAGTTGAGATCATTCTCACATTTTTTATGTAAATTTGATCTGCAGCATTTGAAATAGTACTCCACGATGAACAATATTAAGAGGGCTGGGAGATAAGATGAAAAGTTCCTCATACTCCCACTAAAAGCCCATTTGTCTCCTGTGGTTTATAGACATTAGTTTACAAGACTGAGAATTTCACAGTTATGCACCCACATACAATACGTACCGTGTATTTAGATTGCTTTTATTTAGTCAATTGCACACTGTGTGTCTCTGTTATTTGTATTGTCAGAGTCTAGCTCAGCAGGCCCTGATGGGGACCATCAACAGCAGTATGCAGGCTGTGCAGCAGGCTCAGGCTGACCTGGGATATGTAGATAATCTGCCTCCCCTGGGCCACGACTTGGTAAGTCTGCTTTCCATTCACTACACAGTTTCAAAAAATATTTTAAGGATGGATGCAGCATGGATAGATACGATACTCCCCCTCATCCCATAATGTACAGCAACTCCAGTTCCACTTTTCTAACTCATGACGATTAGATAGAATGAAGCATTCGCATCACATCAAAGTCTATAATATTCCTCAAATATAATTAGGATATAGAAATTACTGTAAATATGGAGGCTGTATTTAATGCTTGAGTGTTTCCAAAGCTGTAGGTGTTGTACAACCCTAGTCCTTTAATCCTGCACAAGAAAGTTTATATGAGCTGAAAATCACCCACTGTGATGAAAGCCAATCACTCTCCTTTTCCTCCTCCACCAAAAGGCATCCAGGGTTTGGGTTCAGAACAAAGTGGATGAATCCAAACATGAAATCCACTCTCAAGTTGATGCCATCACTGCTGGAACAGCATCTGTGGTCAATCTCACAGCAGGTGAGTGCCCAGGAGAATACTAAACAGCTGAAAGATGCAACATGCAATCATTTTCAGTTTTCATTTATTTCTACACCAGAATTCCGGTTTATGTGGTCTGCGCTGGACAAAGCTCTAAAGGAAATTGCCCTATTATTAAAAATGCTGTTTATGTTTACATTATTGTAAAAAGGCCAGACTCAATGAAAATGTTTTCCAAGTCACTGTTGAGCTCCCTCTAATAATCAACAAAGGTGCATTCACCTGATTTTCCTGGATAAATATTTCAACTAATGCATAAATCTTTTATTTCTACTGAAGCTCAACTTACTTGCAGTATCTCTCTTTACTCCCTGTGTTGCTTGGCACAATGTCAGTCAAGTTCCTGCCAGTCTTTTGCAGGGTTCTAATCTCACCTCGCCATCTGTTTGGTAGCACTTATACTCCCTCCACTAGCTAATACAAAGTTTTTTCTTCTTCGCGGCCACTTGCTCCATCAGCGTGCTCATCTCTGTGGAACCATTTCAAATAGGCTCTAATTATGACACTGACACTGATGTGTATGTTACAGCATGTGACACGCAAGCTGCCCCTCAGATTAGCTAAATCAACGTGGCAGCAGCACAACAAATTAAGATGCACAGCAGAAGTGTAGTTTGTAATGATGGCGATCCATCCTTTGCAGGTGAGCCCACAGAAACCGACTACACAGCAGTGGGCTGCGCCATCACCACCATTTCCTCCAACCTCACGGAAATGTCTAAGGGTGTTAAGCTGCTAGCGGCATTAATGGACGATGAGGTGGGCAGTGGACACAAGCTCATGGGTGCTGCCAGGATGCTGGCAGGAGCTGTGTCAGATCTTCTCAGATCTGTTGAGCCTGCAGCCGCTGAGGTGAGACACCCACTGATTACTGTAGTGACATAGACTTGAACCTCCGCTGGAATCCCAGTAGCCACAAAGCCACATACAGTGTTAACTGCATGCTTTTCTTTTCATCAGTGTCCCAGTGAAGATGATTTTTGATCCAGAAGTCTGTTTCAGATAATTCATAGAGGCCTGTGAGAGAACAGGCCAGGCCAGTGTAATGAATGTGGTGATGTCATCCTTGTACAGCCCAGACAGACGGTGCTTACTGCGGCAGGAAGCATCGGACAGGCCAGCGGGGACCTCCTCCGTCACATGGGGGAGGGCGAGACCGATGAGAAGTTCCAGGTTGGACACCGCCCACTCACTGTTTCTATGACACTGCTGGCCAAACAGGAAGACACACACACACACAGATTACCCCCCCCTTTAAAAATGTCAATACACGCTTGAGTAATCATGTCAGGGTTTTATTATTAGACTGTTACTATGCGGATATTATGACAATACAGTCACATTTACCTTCATTTTTAGTTGTATTCTCACAGCATTGATTCCACTCTCCTATGTGTTAATCCCTGGAGAAGAAGGCTCATATAGCATCGATATTCTTAGTCTCATGAATATGGCAAATACTCTTCTACTAAAAAAGACAATGTAGTAGTTTCTAATCAAATTGCTTTACTTAATAACACAGATATGATTTATTATTTACCTCCTAAAATTCATAATCACTATTTGCCTCTTGCTTAAGCTGTTTTTACTGTCATACTGTTTTTTTGTGCATTAAATGTCCAGTTTTCACACTATATCAACTGAACAACATGAGTTAAAAACATTTACTTTCTGGTTCCCTTCAGTCACATGTGTGCAGCTGTGCTGTGTTTCAGTGAAGGACATTGATTAATATGTTGCAGGACACCCTGATGAATCTGGCCAAAGCAGTCGCCAATGCAGCTGCTATGTTAGTCCTGAAGGCCAAGAACGTGGCCCAGGTAGCCGAGGACACCATATTGCAGAACCGGGTGATTGCAGCTGCCACTCAGTGTGCCCTGTCCACCTCACAGCTGGTAGCCTGCACCAAGGTACTGGTCTAAAACGTATTCATCTCAGTAGCCAAGTAGATAAAGGACATACCAATAGGCAGGAACTGATCCAAGCGGAATGTGTGACACTGGCCAATGTTTACTTTTTTTACTTTGTGTCATATCTTGACTAAAATTAGCGATTCTGTGATCAGAAACTAATGAATAAGGGCTGCCCAGATAGCTTGCCTGGTAGAGCCGGTGCTCCCTGTACCAAGGCCTTTGCTGCTATATATGTATATATATATAAGGAACTAATAAATAACAGTTTTTTTGATGTGATTGGTTAGATGAAACAAGAAAAGAATAGATGTAGTCTGTCTAATATCATAATAGTCTTGTAATTAATTTGAGTTACTGCCAACAACTGTGTGTGTGATACAGGTGGTAAGCCCAACCATCAGCTCCCCAGTGTGTCAGGAGCAGCTTGTCGAGGCCGGGAAGCTGGTGGACCGCTCTGTGGAAACCTGTGTCAAGGCTTGCCGGTCGGCCAGCGATGATGGCGAGCTGCTGAAGCAAGTCGGGGCAGCAGCTGGTGTGGTGAGCCAGGCCCTCACTGACCTGCTGCAGCATGTCCGCCATTATGCCAGCTGTGGAGAGCCCATCGGACGTTATGACCAGGCCACAGACACAATCATGAATGTGACAGAAAACATTTTCACTTCAATGGGTGATGCTGGTGAGTGCAAAAAAGAAGTACTCGAGGCTAGAAAATGTTGTGGGTGAATTCCCTTTAAAAATGCTTTTTATCTCAAGTTGTTTGGTGTCTCTTCAGTTCATCTGTTTACTCACAGTGGGGACAGTAATAAATCAGGTGACGTTTAATGAATACCTGCTTTCACTTGACTTGTTCTCTTTTGGACTTCATAACATGGCCTCGAGATATTGTGTGTATTTGTGTCCATGTTAAGTGATCTGAAATACCTCAAGCTCTTTGTTATGGTTCGAGCCATGAGGCTGAAGAATTTCCAAACCCAGCCAATTCTCAAGGGGTTGTAGGAAACATGTCATCCAAAACCACTACAGAGCTCTCAATCTGGTCTCAATCAGCATCAGGGAAGCTTTGAAACTTAAAGGGAAACACATGACCTGGGCATTTTTGGAAGGACAAACCTTTTACCTTCTATAAATCAACGAGGTGAAAAAAAAGGAAATCTGTAGCAGAAGATTGGCATTCAGTGATTCGAGTTCATTCTACAGATAGTGTATTGGTTGAGTCCCAAGGTCATTGAATGTAGGTTGTAAATCACCTAGATGTCTTGTCTTTCATATACTTCTCTGGGTGTGTTATTTCAAGCTGTAGGTGGGTGTTTGGGAAACACAGCTTTTTATAGCAGGTGTGTGGGGAGATGTTACATATATTCCAGAGACTTTCATTTGTATAAGAGAGGATGACTCACTGGAAACCTTCAGCTATAAAAGTTCATGAAGGTGAAAACAATAATGTGTCTCCACAATACAAGGACACTTACAGAAATGTCTTAGTGATGCACTAGGGTTGGGAGATATGATGATATATACCATAAGACGATATTCATTTGTCAACTGTCAGAGAATGTGTCACACCGTTTCTACTGAAATAATTACCCCTTCAATACCTCAGGTCTAATTAGGCTGCTGTGAGGAACGCTGCAAATCAGCGAACAAGACTGCTTCAACTCAGTATTGGATGTACAGGATTTTTATATCAAATAGAATTTCATATATCTATCTATCTATCTATCTATCTATCTATCTATCTATCTATATATATATATATATATATATATATATATATATATAAATATATTTAAATCATCACATTAGCCCATTTCCATTGATCTCTACAGTTTCTACTGATCATCCAGAAAATTTTATATTTCACAATATTCAAACAGTATACTGGTATACTGGCAAAACTCTGATATGTAACCATCAGCCATCTTTATGAACTTACATATAATATGTCTGTATGTGTGAACAGGTGAGATGGTGCGTCAGGCCAGGGTGTTAGCCCAGGCCACCTCTGACTTGGTCAATGCCATGAGATCTGATGCAGAGGCCGAAGTTGATGTTGACAACTCCAAGAAACTGCTGGCTGCAGCCAAACTCCTGGCTGATGCCACAGCTAGGATGGTGGAGGCTGCTAAGGTGAGAGTGTCACAATATAACGCAACAAATATGATTGATTATTTGCTTAAGAATGTAAATAGTAATGTAATTTAGTGAAATGCTTAACTTAAAACCCTAATTTAATATGCTTTCTGTCATTATTAGATTTCTTTTGTAGTTTAATAAGTCCTTCATTCTAAATTAGTTAGTTAATTAGTTAAACTCCATTATAAACCGTTTGATTCACAACAAATTGTGCATCTTATTCAGCTTTTCTCTTCTTCTGTCAGCACTGCTATGATGTTCTTGCATCTCTAATGTCATGCGGAAAGTGGGTCTAAAAGATGAACTGAACTGAAATGCTTTAATTTGATAGAATACACATTTTGGCATTACTGTATGCACTAACTACCAGCATCATGTTGCATCCAAAACAAAAATGTGTGCAGCATCATCAGTGACTCTTAATAAGCCCCTGGCACTGTTGAGCAGGATATTATCAGTGTGAAATACCCAGGCAAGAGCAACACTGCTTATGGCACATTAGATGTTTTTGATCTGTGACACATTAATCACCACATCACTGCCGTTATCAAAGAGGAAGTGGGAATCTGGTACTCACGGTTTCCTTGGAAACTGTCAGAAAGCAGACAGAGCTAAATGCCTCTTTGCATCTATTGTGCAACGTGTATAACCACAGTTGTTAAACCTTATTGCTGAGATCTGATAGCTACTGTTGTACACTGTATGGATGTGTCATGATCATATGTGTGTGTGTTTATGTTCTCTCAGGGGGCGGCTGCCTACCCAGAGAATGAGGACCAGCAGCAGAGGCTCAGAGAGGCAGCTGAGGGGCTACGTGTAGCCACTAATGCTGCAGCTCAGAACGCCATAAAGAAAAAACTGGTCAACAGGCTGGAGGTGAATCATAAGAGTCAACATGTTCTCATCCATGTGTCTACCCTTAGCAGCAAAGACAACACGCAAACATCTCTTTCCCACTTTTCTTCATCCCTTTAGTATAAGCAAAGTAAAAATGGAGTAGAAATAAATGGAGAGTGTAGACATTAGGATAAAGGGAACACATGATAGAATGCGAATAATAAAATGCCTCAGCAGTCATTTGTACAAATACGGCCCATTTACTATATTTTTCTGTGTTGTTTCTCTTTTCCTGTTTCCTGAAGTGAGCTATAAATCCCATTAGTGCTGTGAGTGAACTATCTGAGTGTAAAGATCTGTGTTTAGCCTTTGGTATCAGTTTGCCCCTAATGACTAGCCCCTCTCTGCTTCAGAGCACCCAATGTTCAATTTCCCAAACACATAAACTATGCATTACCCAAGGCTGGGATCAGCCTGCTATCAGACATATATCTCAGTCCGCCTCCTTTCATCAGATGGTCACAGTAATGGTGCTAATGGTTGACTCCATCAAATAAATGTGTGAGCCAATGGAGGCCAAAGTGTCATGAATCTGCAAGTGTGCATGTGGCAATTATCACATTCACATTTAGGCCCCCTAAGACCCCTTTAATCTTACCTTTTGTCTCCTGATACAGTGTTATTAAGTTGCTGTGCAGATGTGCACGTGCTTTTATTTAGAAATAAATACAGCATTCCATATAGAATATTAAAAATATAGAGACTACAATACAGGTTTTCTATTAGTATATTGTTATAATTTATTCTGCGTTTCTCCTTATCCACTCAACAAGGAATGTCTTCTCCCTCTGTTTTTAATCTTCATCACTTCGCAACTTGTCTTGTTTCTCTGAATTAATGTGAGCTAAGCAGTATATTTTTAGTGCTTTAGTCTTGGAAACATGGCAAGTGGAAAGCAATGCTCTTATGAAATAAAGAATGAGCATTGCAACCCCACCCATTTCCCTCTTCTTACAAAACGCTTGGCTTGTGACGCTTAGTTCGATGAGGACAACACTGTCTAAGTACAAAACATGACAGCATGATACTGCACAGAGTAAATAATGTTACTCTCAGCCAGGCACCACTCTCTTACTTTAGCCTAAATGATTTCCATTTGTATCTCCTGAACAGATAGCTGCTAAGCAGGCAGCGGCTGCAGCTACTCAGACCATCGCAGCTGCTCAAAATGCTGCTGCCTCCAACAAAAATACTGTCTCACACCAACAGCTAGTACACAGCTGCAAGGTATGATCACACACTCTTTTTACTTTTGTATTAAAAAATAATAAAAATCAAATGTGTGTGCTTTGGTAGTCTTGACAGCTCTTTTCTCTTTCAATCATGATGATGTGGATATGAAGGATACATTAAAGGTATGTTTGAATGCAGGCAGTAGCAGATAGCATTCCCCAGTTGGTGCAGGGGATGAGGAGCAGCCAAGCCCAGCCAGAGGAACTTGGTGCCCAGCTTGCCCTCATAATGGCTAGCCAGAGCTTCTTACAGGTTAGATCTTTCACCATGACATCGTCAGCAATTATCAAACTCTCTGTCATCAGATAAACAAACCCTGCTTCTTTATAAAATTGCTTTTGAAGTTGTTGTTTTTCTGTCACCATCCACTTAGCCTGGAAGTAAGATGGTGACGTCTGCAAAGTCAGCAGTTCCAACGGTGGCTGACCAGGCTGCTGCTATGCAACTGGGCCAGTGTGCCAAGAACTTGGCTACCTGCCTGGCCGAGCTCAGGACTGCCACCCAGAAGGTATCTGTACATAACACTGTTAGAGATAGCAGGATTCATCTCACTGATGCAGGACATTTGTTGCTATATCTGTGAAATGTTTGTTGTAAGGCTGCACTCGGATAAGCCTCTTTGATCTCCTGTAGAGATACCAAGCACAGTATATAGGCATCCTGTCTGCACTGCATAATGTATAGGAGCATGTAAGTAACATTTATGTGTCCTTTGAAGGCCCATGAAGCCTGTGGTCCTCTGGAGATCGATTCAGCCCTCAAAACTGTACAGACACTTAAGAGTGAGCTTCAGGATGCCAAGATGTCTGTCATTGATGGCCAACTCAAACCTCTTCCCGGGGAAACGGTCAGTACAACATCTACTGTGAAGTTCAGTTAATACATTATGGAATAGATATCAAGCTGTAGAAATACCAACATGATGAGGAGATCACAACTATGAATCTAGTGGTTTATTTGTTTGTTCTGTTGCTCACACAGCTGGAGAAGTGTGCTCAGGATTTAGGAAGTACATCTAAGGCTGTGGGCTCCTCCATGGCCCAGTTGCTGACATGTGCTGCACAAGGCAATGAACATTATACAGGTAAGAGAAGTGTATTCTGCACAGTGAGCAGGCCACAGATGCTGAAGTTGCCATTTCATTAAATTATTAGTAGGAGGAGTAGTTACATTGCCGGAGCCGATAGCTCTAATAAATATATATTTATGCATTGCTGACTGTAATTTTATTGAAAAAAGTTTCTTTAAACTGTGCCAACTGGCAGTGTGAGGAAAAAGCAGACAGAGAAAATGATGACTCCTTTATGTGTGCTATCGCTATTGCCTTAAACTGAACCCTCTGAATTCAGCATGGCATGGCTGTTTTGCTGTCATTTCTGGCTCAATTGAGGATCTCAGGGGAGGAGAGATGAAGACAGATAGAGAAAAGCATTTCTGACAATGAACGCTCCCAGGCAGCACTTCATGCTGTGGCCCAGGGTGCTGCTCGCTACTCATTAATCTTATTTTCACTAGATTTAACATTCCATCAGCAAATGGCTCCACTTGGCTGGTTAATGCAATTTGATGCAATTTGCTGCTTTTCTTCTCAGCTCTGTGTATAATAAGTTAAGGGCACCTCCCATGCGGGGGCCATATTTATTATATTAACTCATTTATTTAAACAATGAGGGCATTTCAGTATCACAGTTTGTTCTCAGTGTGGTACAGCTAGCCCCTGCCAGCTGATGTGCACAATGCTATTACAATTATGAGTCGGGAAATACACATACCTCTCGGTTTGTGATGCTTAAGCGAGAATGCTGCAGAAACTAATGAGACTGAAATTAATTTGTTTGGTAAAATGTCAGTCTCAATTTCTACAGAGACATGGTTACTTACTCTCACTACATAACAACGTTCAACACAGGAGAACGTCAACATCATGTTTCCTGTATATCTGTAAAATATTATACCTGTGTAACATCCATAGTTAGTACAGTAGATCTGTTATGCACATGAAATGGTTAGGTTGTATCACATTCTTATATTTACTCATACTGTTATTATACTGATAGTATTTGGTTGGCTTCATGATATTCTCTCTGTTGTTGTCCTTATGATCGTTATCATCATTTTAACGTGTGGATGGTTGCTCACAGGTGTGGCTGCCAGAGAAACGGCACAGGCTTTACGGACATTGGCTCAGGCAGCCAGAGGAGTGGCAGCCAGCACCAGGGAGCCCCAGGCTGCAGCTGCAATGCTGGACTCAGCCCAGTATGTCATGGAGGGCTCGGCCATGCTGATCCATGAAGCCCATCAGGCCCTGGTTCATCCAGGAGATGCTGAGAGTCAGCAGAGACTGGCACAGGTAGCACACTGTAGCTCCCAGTTCTATATACCCCTGAGGCAGTGATAGTCATGTAGCGATCATATTGTTCCTCTCAGGCCCCTCTCCCCTCTACTGATTTGTAAACATTTCTTCTTTCCATAACAATCATCCCCTCTAAGCGTTGCTATTTTCTCTCTGCTCTGTCTCTCGCTTGGTATTTCTCTCTCAGGAGTGCCAGAATAAAACTGCTCATTCTCCTGTAGCCCTTCAGGGGATAAACATATTGTTTGGCATATATCTGTGACAGCAGCATAAATTAGTGACACAGATTGTGCACCGCTGTGAGCCCAATTTGCATTTGAGATTTTTTTTGCTCTGGGACTTTGTAGTGTACAGCACATTGTTAAGATGACTAATGGCAGTCCATCGACTGGGCGTTGTGCTATGTTTCAGGTGGCCAAAGCAGTGTCGCACTCCCTGAATAATTGTGTGAACTGCCTGCCAGGCCAGAAGGATGTTGACATGGCCCTCAGGAGCATCGGAGAGGCAAGCAAGAAGCTGCTGGTGGACATTGTGAGTCAGGCCTAAAACTTTTTTGGCATTTAGTGTATTTTTATTTACAAAAAACATTTGTACTGAACACATACATTAAAATAGCCCACCTAACTAAACTTCAGTCAGGACCACTTCGTCAAAATATCTTATATCCCAAGCAGAATTACATTTGGCGGTATGGCTCTGTTCTGGGACCTCCTTGTCCTTCCGCGTGCCTAGTGGAAAACCTTAAGGCAGGAGAGCACACCTCCCTGCCCTTCCATGTGCATACATGGAAAAGTTTAAGACAAGGAGAGCGGCAGCAGAGACCCCCAGGTACAGAACAGAGCAGCATCAATGGCAATCAGAAAATGACATTGATTAATTAGAAATATAAAAGGAGGAGCTGGGGTGGAGGTGGGTGCAAAAGGCTTGTAGAGGAAGCAGCAGAGATAGGCAGGCAGGCTAAAGCAGCTTAAATAAGGCGCCATGTAGATGTTAGCCAATTGGATGCTTGAGGAAATCAGGTGAGCTGTCAGCTGACTGTGCATGGTATCCAATGGGAAGCTTAGAGGAATCAGCTGATGTATGTTTATGACTAGCTGTGATCGTATGATATAGCTGTAACTGAAAGCTAAGCCTGACTTCGTGCCCTGCCTGAACTAACGCTATGCTCAATAGGTTATTTCCATTTGACTTGATTTTTGATATGTGTATTACAGTATACCCTAATTTATGTGTCTCTTGTCTTTGAAGCTCCCTCCCTGCATTAAGACATTCCAGGAGGCCCAGACTGATCTGAACCACACAGCAGCTGAACTCAACCACTCTGCAGGCGAGGTCGTCCACTCCTCCCGTGGAACGAGCAGCCAGCTGGCTGCGGCCTCTGGGAAGTTCAGCCAAGACTTTGATGAGTTCCTGGATGCTGGCATTGAGATGGCAGGACACACCCAAGTAGGTTTCATGATCATACAACCCCTCCACACTCCACTGAAACAGTTCAACGGTAATCCACTGCCACCAGTATTTTACTTGTGTATAGGTGCATTCAAACCTTCATAAACATAAAAGTCATAAATACTGAGTGGCCGATCTCATATTTTTGTGTGACTAAATTACCTGCTACTTAAGTGATTTGTTAATTAGACATTTTTTATGTAATTCACTTAGGCACATGATTGTTCCAAAGAGCAGTAACACAGTCAGATGTAATGAGATCTTGTGATGTTCTTGTTCTGGTTATTTTCTCATTAATTTGGAAAGATCGTCTGGGATTGGAGTTGATGTAGCATGACACCCAAGCTTTAATCAGGCTCAAAGAGGCCTGCTGAGTGAGGAAATAGGATATAGGTGGTAGGGACACATTAAATGCATTCTTTCCAATACTTTATCCCTTGACAGCTGTTGCTGATACAATGAATACTGTGTGTATTTATGATAATGTTTAACAGAGCTCTAAATCCATCTTAAAATCACCTGTATTTTTCTTATTCCTTGCCTGAGCAGAGCCAGGACGATCAGATCCAAGTCATTGGTAATCTGAAGAACATCTCCATGGCGTCCAGTAAGCTGCTGCTGGCTGCGAAGTCTCTCTCTGTGGATCCAGGTGCCGCCAACGCCAAAAATCTTCTAGCTGTGGCAGCAAGGTGCGATAATATGCAGATAGCATCTTACATGTATCAGATACTCTCTTCATTTCTCTGTAATCAATATCAAACAGTAGTTTCTAGTAACTTGAACCATTGTGTCCTAAATATGTATTCTGCTCCTGATTCGAGCCTGTAGAAAAGTTGTGAAAAATGTTATACTTAAATGTCACAAGACATCTCCCTGCTGCATATGCATGCCACTCCTAAGCTGTGTCTGTTAGGCATTGCTAGAGGGAGTAGGTATCTTTTCCCCTAGTGAAAAGCCAAGCAGCTGGTCCCGCAGGGCTTTGGGCCTGACTGACTTCTCTCTGTCTAATTAGGAAGATGGAAGCTTTGGCTAGGGCCTGTCTGTGCTCAGCAAGGCTGAACACAAACTCAAGACAATCTCGGCACTCCTGTACGCTGCGTTAGCCTATCTCAGTCAGAGGCCAGCAGTGGCATGCTTGAATAGGGGAGCTAAAAGCATGTGTGAGTGAGGGTGAGTGAAGCCAGTCTGTGCGTGCATGCAGAGTATACATGTGAGAGCTAAAAAGACTGTGTGGCTGCCTGTGTGTTTCAGGGCAGTGACAGAGAGTATTAATCAGCTGATCACGCTCTGTACCCAGCAAGCAGCAGGACAAAAGGAGTGTGACAACGCCTTGAGGGAGTTGGAGGTAGCCATCCTCACACACACTGTACCACACACAGACTTCTTCTCTTCAGGCCTGTTTTCTGTTGCCTGTACATGCCTATTTTAATCAGGGAAACTAGGTGGATCAAATAACTGAAAGTGACACCTAAGGCTGTATATTATAATAATGTATCAAGGTATATACTACCTTCCAATCAGCTTAATTTACATTTATTATGTTCCCTTTTTCTGATCTAAATTAAGTTGCTGATTAAAGTGTAAAATCAGTTGTGTGTCCATTGTAGTTTATTATCGTCTCTGTCTGTGTACAGGCTGTCAGAGGCCTCCTAGATAATCCCAATGAGCCTGTCAGCGAACTCTCCTACTTTGACTGCATCGAGAGCGTCATGGAGAATTCAAAGGTACAGGCTTTCACAATAAAAGCGTGAACTGTATACTTTAACTGTCATAGATATTTTACGTAGTAGCCAGCTGAAGATCTAATTTGTAGTCCATTTCCAAACGCCTCAGGTCCTAGGAGAGTCAATGGCAGGCATTTCTCAGCACTGTAAGACAGGTGATGTGGCAGCCTTCGGGGAGAGTGTGGGTGTGGCGTCCAAAGCTCTGTGTGGGCTGACAGAGGCTGCAGGACAGGTGAGAACACAGTATGGTACTAACTCACTCTGAGTTACCATGCATCTGCTCTCATCTCAGCTTTCTGCTCTTCTGCTATCTTTTTCTGCTTACCCTGTTTTGTGAAGAAATAATCACTTTATATTCAAATCAGGAAAAACTAATTGTTAAGCATTTTAGGTTCAAGGTTCAAGGTTGTTTATTGTCATTTCAACATACAGAGTACACAGGAACGAAATGTAATTTCTCGCAGCCCAATGGTTCTATATAAATATGAATAATTCACAAAAAAAAGAAATGCAGCAATCACAGGCATTCAAACACAATACAGATGATAAAAGCTTGGGTAACGGTAGTGCAATGTGCATATCTGTATGTGAGTGGAAATAATAAACAGTGCTTATATGCTCTCAGAAAGCTCCCCTGTTATGCACCATGTATACAATATGAAGCTATTTATGTATCTATTTATGCACCTAAGTATGTATGTATGTATGTATGTAGAGAACGTGGACTGCATGCGGGGGGTGTTAGCTTGTCTGTGACAACAAATAGGATCTTGGAGGACAATATAGAACATGTGTAGTGGCTAACTGAAACATTAATATGATTTTTGTTTCTGCCCTGTAGGCCTCTTATCTTGTAGGTGTGTCTGATCCCAATAGTCAGTCAGGCCATGAGGGGCTGGTGGATCCCATCCAGTTTGCAAGGGCCCACCAGGCTATACAGATGGCTTGTCAGAACTTAGTGGACCCAGCCAGCAGTCCATCACAGGTAAGAAGGTCTATGCAGAGCTTGAAAACATTGCAGGACGATTCCCTGGCATATGGGGACTTCACTCGGGACAGTAGTGTATATAGATCTCTTGTGACTTGAATTAAATGGCTCATTAAGTTTAAAAACCCTAAAATCGATCTGAATGTCTTTAATAATTCACTCTGCACACCTAACTGGAATGCCTCATTTTATACAACTCTGCTTCCAATTTGTTGGTGTTTGTTTGTTTGTTTGTTTGTTTGTCAGGTCTTGTCTGCAGCAACAATTGTAGCAAAGCACACCTCAGCTCTCTGTAACGCCTGCCGCCTGGCCTCCTCTAAGACATCCAACCCTGTGGCTAGGAGGCAGTTTGTCCAGTCAGCCAAAGAGGTGGCCAACACCACAGCCAACCTTGTCAAAACCATCAAGGTCAACTCCCCAACCGATCAAAACGTTGAGTGTAAATTTGTTACAGAATCTTTTCGTCACGTGAGAAGCTTTGAATGTGTGTAGAATTCGGTGGCTTACAAAAAAGGACAAATATTCATATGACGTTGTGATGTTGTCTTGTTTCAGGCTTTAGATGGGGATTTTTCCGAAGACAACAGAAATAGGTGCCGCGTTGCTATGACCCCACTTCTTGAGGCTGTAGAAAACCTGTCAACATTTGCCAATAACCCTGAGTTTGCAAGCATCCCAGCTCAGATCAGCAATGAGGTAATCATCCATTTTGATGCTTGTTCGTTATACACTGTTTCTTACCTTCTCTGTTCTTTTTTCACTACTCCTACTGAGGATTTTGAAGTTACACTTCAGAGAGATTCAATGAATGTGTTTGCGACTGCTCCACTCACATCATTTGAAACAGAAACTTATATATGAGCCAACACAGAAAGGTTTGTACACCGAACATGGTGGGGGGCTGCAGGATTGGATTGAGGTCCAATTTTCTCTTTTCTTTTAATGTCATGAAAAGACTCAAAGAGAAAGATGGATTTTTATTTTTCAATCTGAGTGGAACAAGTTCTCGCACAGTCTCCTAAAAGCTTTATGGCTGTAATCTTTTGGAGGGCAGTGTTTAACGGCACTCTCTCTCAGTACAGCTGCTCTAATCTTCAGCTTGTTAATCTAATTGTCGAGGGAGGCTTTGGCTCGGATCATAAGGACTGAAGGTGTTTCTTCCTGCATGTGTGTAAAGCTGTCTTTCTAATCTTATCCCTCCCTTTGATTGCACCTTTGATCTCTCCCAGGTAGTCAAGGAATATTAACAACTCTGTCATACTAATGTGGTTTGCTCTGTTGAGCTGTTACCTGGGCTGATGTTGCACCTGCACAAACCTTTTTAATTTCCACAGGGCTCCGCAGCTCAGGAGCCTATTGTGCGTTCAGCCCGCTCCATGCTCGATAGCTCCACTTACCTTTTGGAAACAGCCCGATCACTGGTCCTCAACCCCAAAGATCCTCCCATGTGGTCCATACTAGCTGGTCACTCCAGAACCGTTTCTGATTCCATCAAGAGCCTCATCACCTCCATCAGGTTGGTATTAATCCCACCTACTGTCACATCTGTCTCTGCAGGATTATCCTGAATCAAAGTGTATAATGGTTTGCTCGCAGTCGGTGAAAATAAATGTTTCTGAAACCAGAGGGCTTATTCTGCGATGTCTGTTCAGCTAAGCAATAAATTGCCACATTAGTTTATATCTGCTGAGATTCCTGCTGCCTTGTAATAGATTAGTAAACATTATAGAGCAGTGATGAGATGATGTGCTACGTTAGATCTGCAGCACATTTCATCAAAGGTAGTGCCCCACCCACTTCCATCTTCATCATCATCATCATCCTCCAGTCACATGCATACACTATTCTCACAGCAGCTAAGGCCCCGAATAGACTGCATATGATTATACCCTGGCTGCTAATATGCTTTAAAGGAATAATTTGTTATTCGGGGAAATACATTTATTCGCTCTGTTGTCAAGAGTTAGATGAGAAGATTGATACCACCTTCATATCTGTATGCTGAATATGATACTAGCAACCGATTAGCTAAGCTTAGCATAAAGACAGGACTGTCAAACTATTCTTTCAACTATATGGGGATTTTGTACCATTTTCTTTTTTTTTTTTTACTATTTATACTTTATATTTATTTGCACAGTAATGTAGATATGTATTTATGTTTGTATTTTTCAACTTTTCTGATGATAGGGACAAGGCACCAGGACAGAGGGAGTGTGATTACTCCATTGATAACATCAATAAGTGTATCCGGGACATTGAGCAAGCTTCCCTAGCTGCAGTTGGACAGACCTTGCCCTGCAGAGATGATATCTCAATGGAAGTGAGTTCAAGTACCCATCAGCTAAATCTTGTCTGAGAGAAAGAACTTAATGGGATCTGTAGACTTTCTGTTGTTACTTATAACATAATTCTCTGCCGTTGTAACTCACCAGGCGCTCCAGGAGCAGCTGACATCCTCTGTGCAGGAGATTGGGCATCTGATTGATCCTGTCTCCACAGCGGCCCGAGGCGAAGCTGCCCAACTAGGACATAAGGTGCTGGTCTGACCATATATCCCCTCATCCCGTCTGGATTTGGAAAGAAAAACCCCATTCTAGTCTGTTTTCTATCCTGTGATCCAATCCTTCCTCAAACAGCTCTCTTACACTCATTCTCCCAGGTGACCCAGCTGGCCAGTTACTTCGATCCACTCATTGTGGCATCGGTGGGTCTGGCCTCTAAGCTGCACGACCACCAGCAGCAGATGACCATCCTAGACCAGACCAAGACCCTGTCTGAGTCTGCCCTGCAGATGCTTTATGCTGCTAAGGAAGGAGGGGGAAACCCAAAGGTACAAAGCAGTTCATACAGTTACTGTGTGTTTAGTCTACCCTTGTGTCTATTTCAAGGGTTACCTGTGATAATAAGCTAAATTTCAGCAGGTTAAGACAGTTATGTAGGTAGATCTCTGAGCATTAACAATTTCCCTCTAGCTCTGATTTGTTATTCTCTCTTATATGTTATTCATTCAGCTATAAGTCAGTTGCTCGTATTAAACTCGTACAGAACAAAGCGGCAGGAGTTCTTACTTGAAACACAGTTCTTCCGCACATCTTCCACTTTCCTGTATGCTGTGTGCTTCTTAATTCAAGGACAGCAAATTTCCAAGGGATAAGGGGACTGTAGGACACTGATTTATTTACAGCCTTTAATTGTGCAAACAGACTAATGTTTTTGACTCTGATGAAGACACAATAGTGTTAACATGTTAAAGGCTGCAAATCAATCAGTGTGTCCCCTTTTCCCCCTGGAAATATTAGGAATTACTGTTGTTTCTAATGTGAATTTTCTTACATTTTCAACTTGGATTTTGAATTATTTTAAAATACAGTTGTACAAGTCTTTACTGCAGCGAAGAATCCAACATGGTTGAAATGTCCTTTAGTGAGACACTGAGTACTTACCAGCTGTAGGGACACTCTGGAGCTGTTGTCAAGCTGATAAATTTCCTTCTGGCTGGACCAAGACAGTGTCACAGAAACACTAATCAGCTGACTGTGTCCCCAGGCGTCCCACACACACGATGCCATCTCTGAAGCAGCCCAGCTGATGAAGGAGGCTGTGGACGACATCATGGTGACTCTGAATGAGGCAGCCAGTGAAGGAGGCATGGTTGGAGGCATGGTGGAGTCCATTGCTGAGGCCATGGGCAGGGTGAGTATGGGTGTGTTTGTGTGTGTGATGCCATCTCATGAGAAGTCTGCTCAGGTGGTTTAAATGATTTCAGGTTGACAGTTATTCCCTATCTTATTTGTCTGAAGGCAAAATGAGCTTTCCCTGTAAGTGTAATTCCACAGTGGGTGTGCTGAGAGTGTGTCCTTGTCAGTGACTCTCATTAGTCCAGTAGATGACAAGTTTTAAATCCACAGCCCACTGGTGATGTTAACTGTCATTCATCCTGCTGGGGGACATGTCACTGTGTTGACAGTGCGGTTAATAATTAAAGATGATCTGCACATACTCAGATGTATACGATTGGCTCAGATCTTATCCTCCTCTTTTATGTCTCTTCCTTGTGCTTTTTATTTTACCCTTAACTTAAACATACGAGAGCAACCTTCATTAAAACCCCATTAGCATATATAAAGTAGAACACTTTACAAGAATGTATACACTAAAACGGCTTATATGTTCCCACTAATTGCTTTTTAATTGTTAAGAAATTATATATCAATTAACAAGTCGTACTATAAAAATAACTTTGGTTGCCAAATGGTGTGCATCACCCTAATTACCCTAATGAGTCACACTAGGTCTGGACTACCTGAGCTCCTACAATAATGTATAGAGTGACGAGGCCTACTATTTATTTATAACCTATTGACACTTTCAGCTGCAAACTTAGTTGATTGTTCTTGACAATTCCCAATCCTTTATTACCAACATCCATCAAGGTTGCCATCATGAATTTACCAAACTTTATATGTTTGGTCTTTAGCCTGACTGTGATGACATAGATATCGGTATTGAAAGTTGAAAAATCTGTTAACAATATATTCTAACTAATTATAACATATGCAAATAACAGCAAATTTGGTCATTAATGAATTGTGACCATTGTTTTTGGTTAATAAATAAAATTGTTAGTGCTCTCTGGTGAATTGAATTGAATTGAATTGGTGGACAAATTATATAATGTAGACACTGTTAAATGTCTTGAATTTCCCTCTGGATAAATAAAGTATCTATGTAAATCATGTCTTGGCCATTTCTGTACTGCAATTTCTTATTGGGCAATATAAACAATAGATATCTACATCTATATATCTGGACAAGATACCAGTTACCAGACAGATTTAATGGTTGGATTTGGTCTGCAGTTGTCTTCCGAGCATTAGGGGGATCAAAAAGTCTATGGGAGGGGTCCATTACTAACAGTTGCATTGGCAGGTGATCAGTCAAGGTATAATACAGCATGCAGAATTTTATTATACAGAATATTCAGAGCTTCTTACTTAAGTTTAACTAAGCTGTAAGACTAGGCCTTTATAAAATTAAAAATGTTTTATCAATTAATAAAATAATTCATTAAAACCTAAAAACCCTTTATAGTAGGCTATTATAATGTGGTACCAGACTTAATTTAAAAGACCAACATAAATGGGAGTACCTAGTATAAAAATGCATAGGATAGCAATTTAAGTCCTAAAATAAGTAAACACTAAGGTTGATCTTCACAGGTTGATGAAGGAACTCCTCCTGAACCTGAGGGTTCCTTTGTAGACTACCAGACCACCATGGTGAAGTTCTCCAAGGCCATTGCCATCACTGCACAGGAGATGGTGAGTACAATGATGCAGTAGTATATCCATGCCTGGCTCTGTGTGTTTTCCATTACATTTCCAATCTACAATGACAATATTTGTCAGTAGGGCTACAGAACCATTAATCTGACTCTGCTGATGATGTATGTTCTCTCCATTGCCAGATGACTAAATCGGTAACCTGCCCTGAAGAGCTCGGTGGCCTTGCTTCTCAGGTGACTGTTGACTATGGACAGCTAGCACACCAAGGACGCCTTGCTGCTGCGACTGCAGAGCCAGAAGAGGTTAGACGCCATGCTATCTGTCCTAATATGTGGAGAAAATTGCATACTCTTATGAAAGATTTAACACATCACGCTGTATATCTCTTTGCAATCGTGCCTCTTAAATGTCAGACTGAAATATCAGCTTAGGTGTGCATTTTACACCATAACTGCTTTCGGATGTGTCCACTATCACATTGATCGAAGCAGATGTTTGCTGTTCTTTGATATGACACCCCTTCCTCAAGGCTGCTCCGGACAGCAGGAGATCAAACAGAAATATACCCCTCTAGCATCCATCAGTCTCAAGACCCTCGTGTTTTCTTAAAGCTTTTCTGTTTGGCCCACTGTCTGTGGAAACATTGCAGTAATAAGCCCACAGCTCTTATCAATGTCTTGTATATAGCAGGCTGCTGGAAACCCTGCTGGTTACCATAGCGACATTGTGCCTCTACAAGTCTAAAAGCCTATAGTGATGCTTATAATGAAGTACCACCCACCCGTGAATCTAAGTCTGGAAATTAAAGGTGTAGTGACAGCTTTCCCTCTCTGAGGGTGCTTGAAATTATTTTTCATCGACCCACTGGATAAGAGACATGCCAGTTCAGGACATGATTATAATGACACAAATGAGAGGATGGATGCGTTGTAAGTCGATGCCTGGTTATGCTTTCAGGTTGGCTTCCAGATAAAGACACGGGTGCAAGAGCTGGGCCACGGCTGTATCTATCTGGTCCAGAAGGCTGGAGCCCTGCAGCTCAGCCCCACTGACAGCTTCTCCAAAAGGGAGCTCATCGAGTGTGCTCACGCAGTCACAGAGAAGGTAAGTTATGTGGACACAAACTGGCACAGCAAAGCAAGTTTTTAGATATTTACATATTTATTATATATATACATATATATCAGAATTAGCATTTCTGTGACTGCATATATTTCATGCATCGCTCACTACAGTTACTATATATATATATATATATATATATATATTTTTTTAAAGTAAACTAATAAAGTCTGTGCAACTGCAAAATCTAAGAAGAAGCGGTTCAGATGATTATTTATTGTTTATTATACTGTGGCTGACAGGACTGCTTTGTATTACAATTATTTAGTATTTTAAGGCTTAGCTTTAGTCTCAACATTGAAATAGTATAGAGTCAGAAGTATATAGGTTTAATGTACAGTGTGTTATTTTAGGTATTATTATTATTGTACCAGCCATGCAGGTCATGAGAGCATGCTCTTCTGACCCTAACACTGTGCACTTCATAATAATACTAATGTCTCCCTGCTGTGACCCTGGCAGCATCCAGCCATGCTGCTCACACATTAGAATTTTTCTCCACTCAGAGGCTATGATTTGATTCAGGGCTCATATCAAACTTGAATAATTTGGGGTGTCACGCCTGCTGATACATGAAGCTAGTGCCTTGTTGAAATGTATCTCTTAGGGCTCTCCATTTGTTTATGAGGGATGGGCAGAGAGCTGTCTTCAAGGGAGATGTGTGATTTGCGAGTCAGGCTCACTGACTTGATGTGATTGCAGGAGGCTCTGATTTTAATGCATGTTTAAACCTCCTATCTTTTCTTACTCCCAGATTTTTCCTTTATTTCAGCTCATCCATAACTTTCAATACACGACCTTTGCAATCTCACTCACCTGGTTTATAAAGGATCCACCAACATCATGTGAAAAGGAAAAGCTGCTGTTTAATTATTAAACATGTGCAATGCATACAGAAACTGGGCTTATTTTAGCTGCTTTTATTTACACCTCTGAAAACAGCATGTTTGAGGGAACTCTCTGCATGCTTTATGTTCCAGGTGTCCTTGGTACTGTCAGCACTGCAGGCGGGGAACAAAGGAACCCAGGCTTGTATCACAGCAGCCAGCGCTGTTTCTGGCATCATTGCTGACCTGGACACCACCATCATGTTCGCCTCAGCTGGAACACTGAACCCTGAGAATGAAGAGTCTTTTGCTGACCACAGGTGCAATGACCTTGCCCTGAAACAAAACAGACAGACCAACACAAGATGTGAAATGAAAATCTGTAATGACAAAAAAGAGAGACATTTTGATGATGTTAAAAATGGGATTGTGAGCACAAGAGTAATGTGATTTAGATTTCAGTTGCTAAGCGTTTACACAACCAGGGCTCCATTTTTCTTTTGATGACTCACTCAGGAGAAACGCGGTTTTCCAATAAAGCTGAATATTCAGATGCATTTCACATAATGAACACAATTGAAAATTGTCCTTACTAAACACACATTCTGCTAGAAAAGCAACAGCTTCCTTTCATATTGCTGGTACTTGAGTGTGACTGTGGAGCAGAATGTGACACAATGTGTCCCATCCCTCAGGGAGAGCATCTTAAAGACAGCCAAGGCGCTGGTGGAGGACACCAAGCTGCTGGTTGCTGGAGCTGCGTCCAGCCAGGAGAAACTGGCCCAGGCTGCCCAGTCTTCAGCCAAGACCATCACCCAGCTCACTGAAGTGGTCAAACTGGGAGCAACCAGCATGGGCTCTGAGGACCCAGAGACACAGGTGATGAAAATCCAAAACACATTTTACACTAAAAAAAATCTAATACAGTCACAGATGTTTCAACCATATGCAGTCACAGATGTATGCCTTTATTTTTTAACAAAGCTCAGTTATTACTTTTTAATTCAGCTAAGCTCTTTAACATGATATTGTAACCAATTTTCATTATACTATTCTATGATATTAGTCATCTGCAACGAATGTCTTTTATCTTTTTGTACATGCAGTGTTGGATTCTCTGTGTAATTGCAGTTTCATCTGATACATATTGTGTCTTCTCTTTCCCCTGTGTGTATGATGCCTCTATCTCTGCCCTCCACTATGTCTGAAGTATCATGACTAGGTGGGAGCGATAAAGGCTGCAGTGTTAAATCCTTTCCCCAGGGTGCTACTGATAAACCTATACCCTGACCATTGTGCCGTACTGATACCAGCTCTATCTCCTCAGGTGGTTCTGATAAACGCAGTGCGGGATGTGGCCAAGGCTCTGGCTGAACTCATCGGTGCCACCAAATGTGCTGCCGGCAAGCCTGCTGACGACCCTTCCATGTATCAGCTTAAGAGCGCCGCCAAGGTAAAGGAATAGACTGCTCAAACAAATTAATGTCATATCTAGTTAAGCTGTGTATTAATTTCAGCAACGCAAGTCTCCAATTTATTATTCAGCTTATGCTTCCTCACTGAGAGGAATGCATGTAGACATTTATTCTACAAATGCGCTCTTTGTGTTACTGCTATCTTTAGTTTGATGTATCTGCTCGCACAAAGTAAAGTTTTTTCAAAAGAAAGATATGACAGTCCTTGTCAGGATTTGTGAGGTATTCGCTTTTTCTGTCTTATCTGTATGTGGGACTAGACCCATCACTAAGATGCATTTTTGTGTGTGTGAGAGAGAGCGAGGGTTGGTGTGTATTCCTGAGAAGTATCTGTATCCAGAGGTCTTTGTATTGTAACCATTGGGACAATAATATTGCAAGTTTTTGAATCAGCTTGACTGTCAAGGCTACTCAGGCTGACAAATCTATTTCTCATGTCAAGTGAGTTTTATTTGTATATCTCAAAAACACAAATTTGTCTTGGAGTGCTTTACAATCTGTACAAGACACCCTCTATTATTAGACCCTTGGTTCAGGCAGGGAAAACTCCATATAGAAAACTTTAAAGGTGAAACAAATGGGAAAAACCTCAGAAAAAAGCAACATATGACAGGTTCCACTTTGAGAACATGCAGATATGCAGTAGGTGCCAAATATACAGAGTAGACCGAAATAACAGTAGTATAATTACAATATGGAGAAATAAAAAGTGAAGTTACACAAAATGGTGTATAATATAAAGTAAATAAGTGTAAAAGGTTTCAGGCAAAGTTTTTTCTTATGAAGACTGGAACAGAGAAAAGATGTTAAAAAAACTTCCAGGTACTACCAAGGGCTGGGAGAAACTGAACTGTACATACACAAGAAAGGCGAGAGTTGTCATTTTACTCTTGATCATTATGACCACTATCACATCTGTCAGCTGCTGAAAAATAAAAACTAAAGATCAGACCTTTTGTATCTAACCTTGGTTGAGCAGCGGTCACTGCAACAGAGAAACAAAGAGTAGAGAGAAGAAGTATTTGGTCGGTGACAGAGCCTCGGACATCTCTGAACCAAAAACTTTGCTCGTCTTCTGCAAACTATCATCCCGAGCCCAGCATGAAACTCTAACTCATGCATGGAGTTTCTTATGTTTTCTCATCTAAATGGAATTAGGGCCACCCATGGACCTGGTTATGTTGACAGATTGTTTCGGTTCCTCCAACATATGGTGACCTCCAAAAGGGGACCCTCTCAAACTCTTGGCGATCATGTTGCTCAAATTCCTAAGCTAATAATGTACACTTTGCTGAACGCAGCACAGACAGGACAGAATGTGTCACCATGAATAAAACGTGAATTGTTTTTTTGTATCCTAGGTGTCAGTGAGTAAACTGTATTATTAGTATAAATCACCCTCTTTTAATTTGAAATACATCCTTAAACAAATTTCACCATTATTCAGTGAAGGAGGAGGCAAAAATAATTTTGTAGTGTAGTTTTTTGCAGCTGAGGAGAAAGAGCTCCACCTCCTGGTTTGACTGTGAGCCTCATCATTACTCCATTTATTTGACAGGTCATGGTGACCAACGTGACGTCTCTTCTAAAAACAGTGAAGGCAGTGGAAGATGAAGCAACTCGTGGGACAAGGGCACTGGAGGCCACCATTGAGTGCATCAAGCAAGAGCTGACAGTAAGACTGCCTCACAGGCCCAAACCTCTTCTTTATGGTCTTTCGGGAGTCAACTGATGAGACACAGCCTCTCTGCAAAGCTGTCTCAAAGAGGGTCAGGGAGATCTGTGTCTATTATTCTGAACAAAACAGGGGGGCTTCTTGTTCTTTTTTCCCTTCATTATCTGTCCAGCTCTTTTCCTTCCTCCATTCCTTCTCAGCTCATGCAGGTTTCTCACAGCTCTTATCAGGGTCTAGGTAGCAGGCACAGGCAGAATGGAAAGAAAGGAACAAGATTTCAAGAGCTTGTATTTTTATAATTTACTGCTAATCCTTATCAAAGGAGAGGATGCTTTTCCAAGAGCTGCTGGCAAAGCCAAATTCATAACAGTCAACCTCTCTTCTGATTATACCGCGACAAATATGACAACGCTCTGTCCTACTCACTTGTTTACAGTGTTACTACACCACATGCTACACTTGTTCCCATCTATATTAACACATTTGAGCCCCTGTCGTGCCTATATCCAACTACCTGTATCTGTGTGTCTTCATCATGTCAGGTGTTCCATTCCAAGGACGTCCCAGACAAGTCCACCACACCCGAGGAGTTCATCCGCATGACAAAGGGCATCACCATAGCAACAGCCAAGGCAGTGGCTGCAGGCAACTCTGCTCAGCAGGAGGATGTGATCGCCACTGCCAACCTAAGCCGCAAAGCCATCTCTGATATGCTGACTACCTGCAAGGTGCTAATCCACACCGCCCTGCCAGAACAGGCCTCACACAGACATCACCAGGCTGCCAGGGAACATGTGAGCCCAGCATGCTGAGAGCAGATAGGACATTAGAGTCTAGTCTACTCTATGGCTGCTCCCGCTGGTAGTGACTCAGTCACTTTTCAAAGTCGTGCAGCGGAGCATCAGTCAGGATGTCCTTCAGTGACTGTAGAGCACTTGTATCAAGACAAAACAAAAGGAGTACAGAACGTTGCAATCAAGGCATTACAAAGTGAAGAATTGGAGTTTTTATTATCTATGAATTGGATTTGAGTCTGAAACATGATGGTTCAAATGGCGGCCTCTGTAAAAGAGAACCCGCTCCGTCTGTAGATAAAAACAGCTAAGGTTTTCTTTTTTCAGGTGATTATACACTGATGAAAATGTACCTATGACTATTATATTCCATTTCTGCCAGTAGATTCTCCTGAATGTTACACACTGGACATTTAAATTTTAAGATTCCAGTGGGAACAATTTCTGTGTCCTTTTCCAGCAAGCAGCTTTCCACCCAGAAGTGAACGAGGAATTGAGAAGCAAGGCCCTGCAGTACAGCTCTGAGTGCACCACCGGATATATCAACCTTCTGGAGCAAGTGCTGCAGGTTAGAATGAGACAGTCACATGTCTCATGAATAAAGCATGGAAGTGACTTGCATTAGTGTGTGTGTGTGTGTGTGTGTGTGTGTGTGTGTGTGTGTGTGTGTGTGTGTGTGTGTGTGTGTGTGTGTGTGTGTGTGTCTGTGTGTGTGTGTGTGTGTGTGTGTGTGTGTGTGTGTCTGAGAGTGGATGCTGATATTTACTATTACCAAATGAGGCTTTAGAGGTCTTATCTGCAGGATTAAATCCTATGATGCTTGAAAAAACATTCCTGGCATGTTTACTGTAGCATCACCCAACAGAATAAGGCTGGTGATATTCTATTTTTTTCACGTTTTCAATAAAAATACAACAACAATAATTTTTTTTCGACTAACAGGTATTATCTGTGTATCCAAACCCTGATGTAGCGTATTCCTCTGTGCCACAGACCTCTATTATTGTCCAGAAACTATTAAAAAAACATAAAGGGGCCATGCTGCTGCACTTGGGGCTTCTTCTTCTTTATGAAGAACATGAGCACTGTAGTTTATTTCGGACCTGTCCCACATACTGTACACGATCCACTTGCTGTAAATACTCACAAGTGCAAATGTGTATTAATCCACACCTAAAAACGCTCCCTAACAAATGCTCTATTTACTCTTGTTTGAGCAATGTTTGCTAAAAACTACAGTGCCCAGCTGTGTTAGGAAATTACTCAGCCTTTTATAAAATAAGTAACCATATTTTATGAACCTGTTTTAAAAGACTTATGTGTTTGAACAAATAACCCCTGACTCAGAGGAGTGACATCTCACACATTACTAGTTTTGGTATTTTCTTGAGGCTTGTTGTCAATAATACAAATATAGAAAAATGCCAGTCTTATCCTTGAAAGGAGGCCTTAGATTACGAGCATTAATCAGAGTGACAAAACTGAAGACTTGAAATTTGCCTTATGCCCACAATTTGCTGTATCTGTCTTTAACCACATTAATCTTGAAGATTTGTCATTTTATATCATACACCACAGTCTTCCCCTACAAAAGATCTGATTTAATTTCTGAGCACCTTGTTGCATAAATCTGCATATTAAACAGCAAAATGTATTTTCATTAAAATCCTTAGTTCATAATAACACTCCCCGTGTGTTATGTGAAGACAAGTGTGTTGACATGTAACAATTGCTAATTATGTTTTAACTCACTTAATTAATTATCTCACTTGCATAATTTGTCAGAGGTACATCGTGTTGATCCTGACAGGACATTAAGCCAGTAAAAGTACCTTGTGTTATAATTTGTGGTCTAGTGTAAAGAGTTTGCTGTCGCTACTTTGCCAGTCAACTAGTTGCTCAAGCAACAAAAGAACCAAATATGAAAAATCTGGCAACACTAACTGACTTACAAGTCAGTTATTATTAGTTTTCCTAAGCAAGTTATTAGTTTTGCCAAGTTGTGGTCTAGGTAGGCTGCTTTTTTTGGTAGCCATGTAAATGTTAGAAGTCTTTGGGAGAAGATGCGGCTTCCTTATACGTGAAGCTGTGAAATAACCTGCTCTTTTAAAACTCATTTATCTTTTATATTGCACTTACTAATGTCTCTTATGTGTGTGTGGGTGTGCATGTGCTGGGCTCTTAAATTTTCAGGTGCTGCATAAGCCCATGCCCGAGCAGAAGCAGCAGCTGGCCATACACTCAAAGCATGTGGCAGCCTGTGTGACAGAGCTCATCCAGACAGCTGAGGCCATGAAGGGTGAGGCCACACACACTGCTGATACACACTGTCACACACACTTTCACAACGCACAGAAACAAAAGTTCGGCTGGACAACCCTTTAGTTACTGGTGAACCCTTTCTGACTGATGTCAGGATTCTATGGACCATTTAACACACATGAAGGTTGTGTATAGTTAGTATCCCAAGCGTTTATGGTACCTTATGAAACCGTATAATGTTATTTTATTAGGAGACTTTTATTTTACAGAAGCTTGTGTGCTTTCCAAAAATTGTTGGCAGCTGATTTTAATTTTAAAATGACTGTGAGACATTTACAGGCAGTGCAGCGTAAAACTGTGAAAGCTGAAATTGCAGAATATAGTCAGTTTGAAGCATGGGGATTCCCATCAGGAGCAAACTCAATTTGCTAAAATGTAAAAAACCGTGACAGGATTGTGGAGATGTTAAGAGATTAGTCAAAGGAGTCCTAATCCTCTTGAATGAATAATATTATAGTGTTATTGAGTCAAGCCACCGAACCTGTCTGCGTCCGCAATAAAGATAGGTCATGAAAATCCCTTTAAAAATATTGAAATCGTGCCATAGAGTGATTGCCGCACAAATTGTTCCAAATTAAGCTGTGCAGGATGGTTATGACACAAACGTACCAGAGTGTTTCCTCTAGAAGCTGCATTGCTGCATCTGACAGGAGTAATAGATTGTGTTTGGATGAGAATTAGATTTCAGCGTATAGCCTGAGACCCAGCGGGGCTATCCACTTCACCTCTTTAATGTCCCATGTGCTCTCTCTCTCTCTCTCTCTCTCGCTCCCTCTCTTTCATCGCTGCCTCAGATGGAGGTAAGTGGGATATGGTGTGTTTTGTTCCTCCAGATCACCTTTCATAGAGTCAGGATGGGGTAGAGGAGTTAGACAGCGTGGGGGTGGGGGCAGATTTCCCCAGAGCTAAACATAATCTATGAAAACATCGTTCCATCTGCCTTACCAAGCTGTTCCCAAACAGCTCCGTTTTATGGGCACTTAAAAACCTATAAAAAGACAATGATCCATCAAATGTGCATTTCTTCTAACTTTTAGTTTATCTTATTTAACTTTGAAGCATTACTATCATACTGCAAACAATTCTTTACAGTGTGTAGAGCTCATGAGTTTTGCTGCAGTTGAAGTAGGTTGAGATTTAGCACCTCTGTAACGCCTGGATTGTGTGAATGAGTGCATGAAAAATGGTTTAGGCATAATGTTGACCTTTTTGTTACATAAAATAAAATGTTATCACCAGAATTATTCTACTGTTTTTTACTCTTTTATGAGTCTGTGCTAGATAAGCATGGGATAACCACTGTCTGTGTATGTGATGTTCCCGTTCAGGATCAGAGTGTGTGGACCCCGAGGACCCCACTGTCATTGCCGAGACCGAGCTCCTCGGAGCAGCAGCGTCCATTGAAGCTGCAGCCAAGAAACTAGAGCAGCTGAAACCCAGAGCCAAGCCCAAGGTATAAGTGCCCCTCTCAACCTTTTCCACCCACACAAACCCACGCACAGCTTTTTGCCATTAATCAGTGGGGAGTCGATGTGGGCCAAAGGTAGGAAAAGGTGACACTGACTTTGAAGTGGAGTCATTTTTTTTTTTCAGCGACTGAGTTGCTATCTTGATGTCATTAAAGGAAAAAAAAAAATTCTACATTACACATACCGTGTTGAATCAGACAGCTGGTCCAGTGGGCTAACATATGATGCTCAGAAAACTTTCTTCAAAGGCACTTTTGGTCGCTATTTTGATTTGTGTTGCCAGGAGACGCAATTACTGCGCTGGTTCCTCAAGCTTGTGTTGGAATGAGTTCAAATGTGTGATGAACTGTTGTGACCCTTTCCGAAAGAGAGGGCCTCTGTCTTATTGAACTTATTTCCTTTGTTTTATTGCAGTGTTCCTCCTTTCTAAACTAAACGTCTTTTTCAGCCTGTTATTCATCTCTGCCACACTGTGGTATTGCCTAAAAAGTAAAACAACTTTACCACATCATACACAATGAAAATAGGCAAAAGATGGGAGATGGTAGTAATAGTGCTTTTGGAAAATGAAATTACTTTTCTGTTGTTCTGTATGCAATACAAGATTGTGTTTGTGGTGTGCTACTGCATGATTGTGTTGTTTGTTTTTCTGTCTCTGGAGACTGGATAGTTGGATCCTAGTGTTCTTCCTTCTGTGCCTGTAGTGGTTTCCCCCTTTTCTATACCTCTTCCTGTACACAAAGTGATAGTCACTTCAACCCTCTGCCTGTATTATATAAAGGACAGCATATTTAGGTTACCCCAGTTTTAATAAAGACCTCATAATGCTCGGTCTCATACTATAATTCCACAGCTACAGACAGCATTTATGAGGACATTTATGTTTATGAAAGGGGATTAGTGAATGAAAGGCTTTTCCTCTGTCTCCCTCTAGTGATCTAAGGGGAAGATTTTTTCTCATGTGAGGACATTTACATTTTTCATTGATGACCATGCCTTACTATTCCCTATATTCAGAAATTAGCTGAAATATGTGTCCATCTGTTAACATACTGATTTGGGGGACAAAATAAAATTCAAAGGCAGAGATCTGACCATAAAGCACACACGATTATTGTGCCGAGCAAATATTTATTTATGTCTTAAAGTTCATTCATTTATTGCAATCCACGAAGTAGTCTAAAATAATTGTAGAGCACCATATATGGTTTTTTTAAAAATATAATAAAAGTATTTTTACTGAGACAGAGCTAACAAAATGCCACATATAATTAAGCCACTATGAAATAGCCCACCAGATTTAAAAAGGTTTTATTCATTGGTCTAAAACAGCTTGGATTCCCCTTCTCCTCGTCTTTTCTCCCTCTCCTATCTGCTTCTTCATCCCTCCCACCCCATAAGGAGGGAGAGCTCCTCTGCTCCTAGCATGCTTCCTTGCCCTGCCCCCCACCCACCCCACCATCTCTGAGCCGTTGTAAACCTGGAAGCCTTCTCTGCAGGGCTCTGTCTGATATGTTTGATATATTAGGTTGTTATTCAGTCCAACTATATATCAAACATATTCCTACAGTGTCCCGCCCTGTCTCCAGCCACGTGTGCCTTATGTGTTTATGGAGGTCAATCACATGCTGTTGACTGCTGAGGCAGAAATAGCCATTTGTTAGCTGTTCCTGAACCGATGCACTGTGATCTTCATGGTGTTATCTAGTTCGGGTTTTGGAAATGGGACATCGTATTTAGCTGCCATTCTGTTGCCACTGAAAAATAATCATTTTCGATTGTGCTTTTTGTGAAAGATAAAGTTGATCATTATAGGTTTTGCTAAAGGCAGAATTTGTGAGTTTTAGGAAGCTGGAGGGCATGACATATCACAAGTAAAAATGAATATTGAAACTATTTTATAGGCTGATTCAAGTATTTTTTTGTTTTTATAGTATTATCTACATGTACTATAACAATCTTTTAACATATCCCCAAGAGAAGCTTTTTTTAAATCCATAGAATTGATCAAATCTGAATCTATTTTGGTGATCATGATTCTGGTTACAGCCTTGGTTAACCTGATTTTTTTTACTGTAGCATGCTATAATTGTATATGTAAATTAATATGTGATTTTACTCTCAGCAGCCAGATGAAACGCTGGATTTTGAGGAGCAGATATTAGAAGCAGCAAAGTCCATTGCTGCAGCAACTAGTGCTCTTGTTAAATCTGCATCAGCCGCGCAGAGAGAGCTGGTGGCACAAGGCAAGGTATGTCATCGCACCTACTCAGACACTCAGCAAATTCTATACATTACTACTAATGTATAACAACATATACATTGGGTTTTCAACCCAATGTCTACCTCAGGTGGGATCCAATCTAGCCAATGCGGTAGATGACGGCCAGTGGTCCCAGGGTCTCATATCAGCTGTAAGTTGCTTAGAGTGTTGTCTTTTAACATTTCTAACTCCAAATTAATGTATAACGTTTTTTTAATGTAAACCCAACCCAACCCAACAGTATGTGTTAATTTGTTGCTGGCTGTAGGCACGTATGGTAGCAGCAGCCACCAGTAGCCTGTGTGAGGCAGCTAACGCCTCAGTGCAGGGCCACGCCAGTGAGGAGAAGCTCATCTCTTCAGCTAAACAGGTTGCGGCATCCACGGCTCAACTACTGGTAGCCTGCAAGGTGAAGGCTGACCAGGATTCTGAAGCCATGAGGAGACTCCAGGTAACAACTCATTTTGAATGTATCCACTGAACCCATGTGTACCATGTGGATTGTGTACATGCTAACTTTGAGATGATCTGTTTGAAGGCGGCTGGAAATGCAGTGAAGCGAGCTTCAGACAACCTGGTGAAGGCGGCTCAGAAAGCAGCATTTGACAAGACTGAAGATGACAGTGTTGTGGTAAAGACCAAATTCGTTGGAGGCATAGCTCAGGTGAGACAAAATGTCTTTGTGAGACCTGGAACAGAAATAACTCCCATTGTGTGGTTTGCCCTTTTCACTGAATGTTTGCACCTCTCGCTGATATGCCAAAATGCCAAATGTTGTTATTGTGAAATTGTGATGGGCTGCTGTGGATAAACAGCCCATCAGCTCCATTTCAAAGCTGTTTACCAGGTTTACCAGACACCCACAGCTGCAAAACATCACATCTCTTGAAGACTTGAGAATTTTCTTCCTTCTCATCTTTGCATAAAAAATTGACAGTAATTGAAGACTGAGTGTCTCTTTTTCAAAACTCCAGGGTGCTACAGGAAGCTTCACTTTTCATCTTGATTGACTGAGTTCCTGTCTCAGTCAGTGGTGCACCCCAGCTGGGCATCAGCTTGTCAGTTTTTCTATCTGACCAGTAAGGCTCACTGTCTCATTGATGTCTGATCAGTGTCGCACTGAGGAGAGCTTTGGACGACATTGTTTCTCTAACCACTTTAGATTGGGATTGCTCTAAATAATAACAATATTATTATCATTATTTTAAAAATGTTATAGCTTAGTGCTAACTATCCTTGCTACTATTATGCATTTTTATCAGAAAACAATTCATCTAAATCTGAACCACTAGTGATTGACTGCAAATACAACAATAGAACATGCAGTCCAAATATTGTCATAAAATTGCCTACAAAATATTTTTTTTCTGTAATGATTAAATGCTTCTTTCTACATGAATCACTATTCTCCAGTTACTTACTTCTCCATATATGTAACTTTGTAGAATTGGTTTAGGAAATTTGATTCATTTTAACACACCATATACCATCATTTGTGACTATAAGATGCCATTTCCTGTATCTTCTCCAATGTGTTGTGCTTGGAGTTAACAGGCTGTATAGTGTGAGCTGGGTGCTGTGCAGCTATTGGGTTTTTATCATATCAAGCTATCCACAGGAATAGGATTATGATGAGGAGAAGGCACATTTTCTGTCAGCTGTTCCCGTTCTCCTCAGATCATTGCGGCTCAGGAGGAGATGCTGAGGAAGGAGCGAGAGCTGGAGGAAGCACGGAAGAAGCTGGCTCAGATCCGACAGCAGCAGTACAAGTTCCTGCCCAGCGAGCTGAGGGAGGACGAGGGCTGATTGGCTAAGCAGATGTGGATGTGCATCACGCTGATGAAACCCTCACATCATGAGGAGATGTTGCCGATGTACGATTGGCTGCTTTACTCTCATATAACCGAGGAATATACAGCACTTGAAACAGGCCTGTTTGGTGAGAAAAACAAGTGCCTGTGCTCTGTAGTGTATTTGTGTGTATGTGTGTGTGTGACGTGTGTATGTGTTTGTCAGTGAATGGCATTGACATTCAGAGTTTAATATGGAGAAGGTTGTTACAGTTGTCAATATAAACAAGTTGAGACAGTATGATAAAGTTGTGTGATAAACGTATCATTGCTTTGTGAGTGTTACTGCATCATGAGCATAACTGACTGTTACAATCATGAATCGAAGTCACGAACGCAGAAATCCTCTATTATCATTGAATGTTCTATAGTTGTTGAAGGTTTAGAGCAAATTGAAATGAACTGATGGTATTTCTGCAATTGGCAGAACAAACCTTAGGGTCCGTAGCTTGGGGGGGAGGGAGGGGAAGGCTTATTTCACCACTGGCTTGCATGAACCATAATGTTTATACATATCAATGGAGCTACTAACCAATAGAGTAATATAGAGTGGAAAGGCACTTGTATTTTACTAATAAAAATGTGAACTGGGGTTTGCTTTTAAACTAGCAAATCTTTAAAAAATCAAGGATTTTGATTCAACTATGTTGTTCAGCTTGACACCAAACAGTGAGGGGTTCTGATTGGAGTAAATGTCAAAATAAAAAAACAGACCACAGGCCAACACTAGCTATAAAGACATTTATTCTTGACTGATTTTTTTTTTTTTAAAGAAACTAGTTGTTCTTAAAGAGCAAACAGGCGTAACCTATGTTATTCAGATAATCTGGACTGTATGTGACCAAATATGTCATGCTGCTTGTACACCATGTCACTTCACGTAACCCCACCAGTTCTTCCCTTGCATACACATGGCTGTGTAAGGAAATATATGTTTACATTATTTGTCATGTTTGTTCTCTCTTGTCTTCATGTTGTAATTCCTCTCCCCATTAACACTGGCCAGATTTTGTTCGGGTACTCACTGTACTGTACACACACACATACACACATATAGTTATTCTCCACCAGTCACCGCCCTGTCATGGTAAAGGCATTTTCCTTTTAGACTGACTGTCTATAGCAATACATTACACTGAATATTCTAAGAAGATAGTAATGAGATGAATTGAGAGAATGAAATTGATTGTGTGCAATGGTATTTGGCTTTGAATGAAACAAGTATATGTTAGGCACTGAGGTTGTTCATACACATACGCACTGAAGAGGAAGGCAATTTAAAGCTTTATATTAAATGTAGGACATTCTCCTAACAAACTAGAAGGAAATAGATGAAATCTCTGATTAAGGAAACTAATTCAATTATTTGTTTTTTGCTTTAGTATATTAATGTATAATATATTACAAATTTGAAGCAGTTCATCTCCTCAGTCTGTCCATGCCAGTGTCAGGACTGCATTGTGTACTAGTGCCTTACTTGAGTCTGCCCTGCGAGCAGCTGGAGATCAGGCTGGGTGGGAGCCTGAGCCTTGTCCTCTCTGGATAAGAATATTATGCCAGTCTAATCCCCATCGGGGTCTTAATAAACTGTCACCTAGTCCTTTGCCATACAATACAATGCCTTGGCTGGTGGCCCACTTGCCTACAATGTTATAATGCTGATATAAAAGGGCATCTGTGGATACCTTAGGATTTAGAGACCATATTGGAAAACTTACACTAGACTGCATTCCATGAGCATGTGGCAATTTGTGTTTGAAGTTGAGAAATTGTCGAAATCAGTATGCCAAGTCCCTTTTAAAAGTTGGACTAAATAACTCCCTTGTTTCATTGTCTAACCACTATAAGTTTTTATCAGTAAATGTAATAATTGACCTAAAATATATTGTCTAACTGATTTGTGCGAGTATTAACGGAAATAGAAAAAGTTACTAGCTCTGTTATGAATAGGTGTTGTGCTTTCTTTAACAGACTGCATTAGTTTTATGATTTGATGCTGTATGTATAATATTTATCTGGTCACAAAAGTATTTTTTGTATTCACCAAAAATAAAGAGTTTCAAACAACCAGTACCACTGAGATTATTTTGTCCTTTTTCATATCGATGCATGTGGTTGACGAAAGAGATAAAAGAGAAAAAAATCAGTCTGCATTCTTTCCAGCAGATGGCAGTATTATCCTTCATAGTTCAGTCAGCCGGGTCAGTGGATGTTTGGAGAAATATGTTCTAGTGGAAGGATTGGCAAAGTTTGCCAGACCAAATATGGACATAGTGGATGTGCTTTTTTTCCTCCTTGTTCATAGACCAGACCTTGAAATATGCAGTGATTCCCATTTGGATGTTTTGGTCCACATTCACTCTGCACAGTTAAAACCTCTGAAGGGCTGTTGGAGTAGCCTCATGCTGACATTTTTTTGGTTACTTGTGATGAATCAGACTTGAACTAGAGCTTGGCCTTTTCTCTTCAGGTAGTACAAAACTTATTTCACCCTGAGGCTGGTCCTTTCAGCAGCACATGGTGGCAGAGTGTGTGATGGTTGGAGGTGGCCAGCACAATACACTGAGTTGTCTTAATGAACACCATATTTGGTTGTTTTAGTGTTTTGGTCTCATGCAAGGCCAGGCCACACAGTGGAGAGGGGAAACTGTAGCCATGTGTTTAAGTGGGAGGGCCCATCTACTACTCAGCCTCTCTCTTCCCTCAGCCCGAAGGACCAAGAGGATGTTTGTCTGATTAACTTTGGCATTTGTAAGGAACTATCAAAACCTCAGTAGATGACTGATGTAAAGCAGAGACAGGGTCTGGTTGCGTTCATCGTCTTATTGTCCTGAACTTCGTGATTTTAGACTAATTAGTAAACCACTCTGCTATAGCTATAATCAAGTTTCCACAAAGGTCCTGCATTCATAACCTCTTTCTGCTAAATTTCCATTTGGCCAAAGAAGCCCCATGATGGTTGAAATGGAAAACTGAAAATATTTTAGGTTTTTCAGTCAACCTCTATTTGTTGCAACCTATATCTATTTCTCAAGTTCTCTGTGTTTTTTCGTTGGTATCAAATAGACGTCCTCTCAAATCATTTGCCTAAACTCCACAGACCGTTGGCAGGTCTTTTTCTTTTTTGTGTGTCATGACACATTGTACTTCTCCAGCATCCTAAATGTCTTTTTATCTGCCATGCTGGAAGGGTTGTTTTGCAGTCATTGTGACTTGTGCATAGCGCCTAATCCCTACAGCCTAGCAGCCATTTAGTTCAGGCTTTGTTCCCCACTCAAGTTCTCAAAAATGAAGCCATGTTAACCCATGGCTAAACCAAATGACACTGGGTCAACTTTGTACTTTAGTTGTTTCAACACTAATGTACATTATGTTAAATAAATCATGACAGAACAGCAAATGCATTTGGCTGATATTGCCCTCTTAAATCCATATTTGTATATATTTCTCATTGTGGAAAACATGCCAGTTACTGTATAGTCAGAAGTGATACTGTGCAGAAATGGAGTCATGGCTTGTGCTAAGAACAGCCTCAGTGAAACTGAGAGTTGTCACACTAGAGAGCTATGTGGCCAGTTATAGCTTGTTAATAATACTCCTTGAAATTTCAGTGTTTATCAGTTTCTTCATTTGCCTTTTAGTCGACTACTTTAACTGTTATATTACTAGACTAAACAATGCTGTAATCTTTATGTATTAAGAAAAATGGGCATAAATATCTGGCCAATGTATTCTGTTTGAAACCCCATTCTGGGAAGGCTAAAATTATAAAACAGGTTGAGAGGGTATCATGGTATTTTACAGCATAGAGGGAAACTGCCCTAAGCCAGTTTTCTCCACTTTTAGAGAAAAGTGATGGAAAAGGAAATGAGGTTTTGAAAAAAAATGCACATCAGGAAAGGCTTTTTGGGTTTTGGGCTGGGCCATTTACACAAAGCATGCTACTGAAACTTTCATTTTTTTATAGACAGCAGCATCTTAATTTAACACTGTTTGTCTTTGTCTGGTCAACAAAAAGTTCTAGTTGTAAACTTTGGACAATGTGAGAGAGGTTTTCACCCCCATGTCCCCTTTGGCTGCATTCCAAGCACACCTGTTCCTCACATTTTTTATGGTTTACAGAAGTAATTTTTTTGTGTTTGTAATTGAGAATGATTAATGCTGGCAGTTCAGAATAGTGTAGGAAGGGGTTTAGAAATGTTTTAGTGGCCATGTCAAGCCAAGAAATGTTGCTGATAAAACAGTGGAAACCAGCATTGTTCATAGATTGAATGACCGTAATTAATGTTTGGCTTCAGTCCACTTTGTCAGGAAGTTCCACATAGCCCAGACCCAAAGATGGTATGGCAGAGAGAAGGTAGCTGCAGAGGAAACACTACCCAAACCTTACCAAGAGATGCTGCCCGTGTAAAATGTAGATGTAGGGGATGGCCTTTGTGTAAACACACATGCACAGAGCTGGCAATTAAATGCTCTGAAAAGGCTGACGAAAAGATACACAGTGGAATACAGCAGGGACTTGGTCATATTGTTAAAAGGATACCTGTTGTTTACTTATACTCACATACCGCCATTCTGCCTGCTCTGAGACGTAGTGCTCCCTAACATAAACCTGGCAGACAGCAACTGATGGATCTAAGACAGCCATTTACTCAGGTCTGGAACACATGACTATTTTAGGTCATCTGCAGGGATCTCCCAACATGTTGGCTCCATAACCTAGCCACTGTACAGCCTTTGATTAAATGAGAATAGTAAACAGAGTCTGTAGGGATGACTTCTGTGTTTTAATAACTAAAAAGAACTGGTTATTGTCTGTGTGCTGTGATTCAAAACCCAAGAGGTTACAGTAACATTGCTGTAAATGATGTAGTGCTTGATCTGGAATTTCAGAACTGACAGATATATATATATATTTATATATATATGGGTGTCACCTGGGACCAACAAGAGTGAATTAGATTAAATGAAAACCATGATTTCTATGTAAAATGACAAACAAAGTCAGTTCACATACTCTTAGCTTTAATTGCCCAGCCAAATGCCCCAAAGTCAGGCCTTTATTTAATGCAACAACAGACAGAATTCACCCATGTCCATGAGATAACAGGTGGGTGGTGCTTTGGCCGTATGTAAAGTATGTGAGTTAGTTGCAGCCACCTTTCGTCTTCTGCTGATTGACAGTATTTGCTGTCTGTTTCACTCATGACGGCAGAGCAGCTCCTTTAGCCATCACGTAAAGAAGGCGCAGTATTTCTCAGCAGTGACAGCAGGGCTATATTGGGTCTCAGCTGAGACTTAAACCGTGGGTGCTAATTTTGGCCAACTCCACAAGTAACATCAGCAAAATCTAGTAAATGGTATCGTCTGACTCCAACACACGCTGTTCCAAAGACAGGCTTTCCCCAGTGATTTACGGTGAATTTTCTTGGTTTTGTTCATTCCTGAAACAGTGTTGAGAGTGAGCTGTGGAACAGGGGAACCGTCTGTCTCAGACTGCGCTGCCGACTGGAACTGATCTGCAGTGTCTCCTGGGATTTAAGCTGTCTAGAGTGAAATGCAACACTCGTCCATCCAAACCCTCGGTCTTAATAAGGAAACTTTGCTCAACACCCCTTAGATGACAGGCCACAGTTCTGCAGAGAAGAAAGTCCTTGGCTCCTGTGGCCTCCCTGCCCTGTTTTAAAACTGAATGAACACTCCCCTAAGTGCTCAGCAGATTTTTCTCAACACTGATGCCAATTTTTATGAGAGGATGCACAGCCAAAATGATTAATCGATGTGATTTAACGTATACAATTATGTCATACATGGACAGTTTGCTTGTCTGGCCTTCTTCTACTGTATTTACTCAGCCAGATACTCAGCTGATTACCTTTGATGGTTTCAGGGAGTGGCTGAAAAACTTTCTTTACAGTTATTCCCTTTACTCAAGTACTGTACTGTTCTGAGGTACTTGTACTTGGTTTTTGCTGCTTAATGCAGTACAGTATACTCAATAGCTACATGTCAGCTACATTTATTTGACAGCTGTAGTTACTAGTTATTATTCAGACTAAGATTTTACTATTAAGACTAAGATTTAAGATTAAATAATGATAAGCTTATTAAATACAATGCACTGCTAAATCCTCTTAGCCTGTGACCCTTTACAAGCAAGCAGTCTCTAGTTGGGGCCCTTTTTTTGTTAAAAAGCAAGGACAGGAGAAAAAATCCATAAAATGGATACAAATTTGAGGAGCAGAACTAATCTACCCAACAGTATAAAAAGTGGTTACAACTAGCTCCACCTCAGAGCTGTAAAATGCTGAGTACTCACTGAAATGTTATACATTTCATCTGTAAATATATCAGTTACAGAGGCTATTCTTCTAAATACCTACTTTTGTTTTTGTAGTAAATTTAGCTAGTAATACTTTTAATTAATAAGGATTTTAAATTCAGATTCAAATTTTTACATTAATATATTGGTACTTTTGCTTAACTTAAGGATCTTAATACTTCCATCTCTGGTCTTTTCCATTCTTTTGATGAGAGTGAAGTGTTCTCTAGGCAGCCTCTGAGCATAATTACCCTTTTATCGTACTGTTGTTGTTAGCTCAGACATCCAAGACCTCGGGGCAGGAATTAACCAGACCACACCTGGGGGAAGTCTACTTATTTTTTCAGACAGTCAGCTTTATGATTGACTTCACACAATTGTTTTATCAGGCTCCCTAGCTGTGCGGTGAGCCTGAGCCTGACTGGAAAACAGTCACGGCATCTGATCAAGCGTGGGACTGTAGACAAGCTTTGGTATAAGAATGCAGGTGCCGCAGAGCTGTGGGTTCCTGTGGCATTCCTCACTGTAGAGAGACCACTGTGACCCAGTCATGGTGAACATAGCCTGCAAGCTTTCAAACAGCCACTCCAAACCACACTGGAATGTCTCATCACCATAGATTCTTACACACTCTCCACATAATGGCTTTTCTTCAGTCAGTATGGTCATTTTGTGGTTTGAAGTTAACATACTTGATATAAACCTTCACTTTCTCTTTTAATTTAGAAAACTGTACTTTTTGTTTACCAAA